TCTATGCGTGTTACAAAAAGTAAATTATTTAAAAGTTGCATATCATATAGATAAAAATTTATGATATTTGGTTTATAAGGAATTTTGGAAATACAGATGCTTTTCCTTTTTATATTTTTTCAAAATAACACAAATACTAAATTATATGAGATAGTGGTTAAAAATTAAAATAAAGTAATATGAAAGACTAACTGTAAGCATCAAGCTTAAGTGGCTTATATGCTCTGGGAAGGATACAATTTTGAAGATGATGCAACCAAAGCACCAGTAGGTATAATACACACACCAAACAGGTCTGCCTAGGAGCCTTCATTAAAACACAAACCAAAACTAACAACTGCAATACCAATTGCAGAAACCAAAAAGTACGTGACAGAATTGCAACGAGTGATCTTATCTTTTCTTAGGAGGTAATTGAAACTCTCCTAGCTTGAAATCTTGAACATTTTGTTTCTCTTTCTGATCTGCTTCGATTCTTGATAAACTTTTTCTTTTTCTTAAAATAAACAAATAATTTGAATATTGGATAATATCGTTGACAAAAGTTTTGGATATACATATACTTCGACAGTCCAAATTCCGCACCTTTACCCGTTTTGGAACTAAAAGCATAGTGAGCCATATAAAAAATTGTAGGTTACTTAGACATAGTAAGTAAAACAATATAAGGGCGGTCAAAAAAAAAAAGAGTAAAACAATAAGGTAAAGATATTTAAACAAAAAATAAAAAGGTAAACATTTGTAATTTTGTATACTACGATATGCATCTCCACTCTACCACTAGAACAAATAAATGAGTTTATGGCTAAAAGTCAAGCGGAAGCCTACCATATATAATCCATAGTGCATAATGAAAAATAGATCCACGTAGTCATATTATATCCACTCTTTACATCTATCAAAAATCAATAGCATCCACAAACTACAGAAGTTCACCATATTTATGCTTCATGTTATAGAACTTGATATAGATAAGATTCAAAACCCTAATCATATGTGCATGAAGATAATTGATAGTACGCATTTAATAATCAGTTAAGAAGAAAACAAAAGGATTTGATGAGAATACTAATTTGAGGGACAAGTGCATATGTTGTTGCATCTATTGAAAGGTGTTTATGCAGAGAGGAATTTGTGGTTGGGAAGGTGGACAGCTAAGGTCATATTTAACGCTGAAACACTAGGCCTGTTCTTACAGTTTTTAATAATTAAAAGTGGGTTTCGAGGGTTAAGAACTGAAGAAGTGATCTTGGGCGAGAACTGTTTCAAGGGTGTTCTCCGGGTGACGTGTCCGTCTCTGAGTGGGTAGCATTTTTAAGTGTTGGGCTTTTTTTTTTCAACCCAATCACACAAATAAACCGGTCTAAAATGTACATTATATACCATTATAAAAATTACAACTCTAAAAAATACAAGTGTTTAGTTTTGTAATGTTTTCAATTTCAATTTTTTTTTCTAATTTTAAAAAAACATTTAAAGTTTTTGATTATTAAATTATTATTTCCTATGTTCTAAACATGTTCTACCAATAATCACTTACTTTACAAAAGTTCTTATTTAATGCTCTTATAATATTTTAATATTTTTTTCCCCTAAGAACAATCTTCAATGTTATACTCTTGCATATGCCCTAATAAGATGATGTGTATGAAAGATGCTCCAAGAGAGGAAAAAGTATCTTCCTCTTATGAATACTATTATATTGGTTTAGAAACGTTTTTGAAAATCTAAAAAGAGAATAATAATAAAAAGAGAGAAAATTGAGAATTTGAATGGTGGGAGTGATAGAAACAATGGGGTTATTGAGGGAGTGAGGGATGGTGACAAGGCAAAAACATAGCCTTTGGGGGTTTGGTATGTTTATTGCTTCCCCAATTGGATGTGACCTGTCTCACTATCTTCACCGGATTCAATTGAATAGTACTTTGACTAGGGAAGATGTGTTTTCTTGTGGATATAGGTCGGAGATCGAGTTATCCATCAATGAATATCCACTGTTAGTGTTTTTCAGTCATATTCCATGCATTAAATGTTGATAAAATCCGATCTTTCAAAGATTTCAAAAATTAGTATTGTTTTGGTTATTAGATTGTCCTTTTTTTTTTTTTTTGGAATTTAATGTTAAATTATATTCAAAAAAAAAATAAACGTTTCTACATTTTCATGCAAACTTTAGATATGAAAAAACTTCTAACAAGAGTCTAATTAATCTTGTCTTGTTGCAAACCATGTTTGGAGTCCTCCAACGAGAGCAACATTCCCTCCTCTTGTAAGCGTACTCATCCGATTACGAACATTCTTATCAATTATTCGTACCAGCTTCTCCGTCGTTGCAGGTTGTTCTCCATGTCGTCGGTTATTTCTTTCACCCCAAATGGAGTGAATCGTGTTCTGGAAAGCATAACCAACAAGAAACCTTTTCACCTTGTCCAACTCTTTGCTAGCAAGTAATGTCATCACATCCCTCCAGTTTTGCGTTATTAGATTGTTCTTGCTATCAAGAAAGTAAAAAAAGGAATAAAAAAGAAGCAATGTGTCTTTGTTCGAAAGTGCATCGATCTAAAAGTAAGTAAACTACTTCTTGGTTTTCTTTTTTAAAGCCAGTATTGGGAAAAAAATTATTTTATTTTTCTATGCTCTTAGAAACTGCAAATTACGTAGATAAGTAGAGATAAGTTAACCAGAAATCTCTAACGTAGTGCAAATAGAATTATTCGTTGGGCTCTCGGAAGTTAATGCTAAAATAGTCCATCATGAATGTGGTGCATGTTTTGTTTTTTTCTAATGGTTTGTGCTAATGTTGTTAATGTATCGTAAGTGGATCCAAACACAAATAAGTGATGTTATTGACATAAAAAGATAAATGATTATTTGTAAATGATCAGAATTAACGATATATAATCAACTAAATATTTTTATTAATAATTATTTGAATACTAATAAAAACAAAAATAAATGACTGTATATATCGATAATATTAATTAAATTCACATGATTTTGATTTACTAATACTTAATTACTAATGTAACTTTTAATAATCTCATCAGATTTGAATATCAACTTTTGCTGGATATTTATAGCAAAGTATCCATTATAGAGTTCGCAAATTACAGAGTTCTTATCAGATTCGAGCTGCGGCAATTTCGCAAATGTCCGAGCTTCACGGTGCGGAATCGGTGTTTCTTCTTCTTGTCTAAAGATTGTGGTTTCGCTAACGTATTTATTTGTCGTGTTTTCTCTTATATTCGTAATTCTTTAGTGCGTAGTTTTTTTGTTTTCCTTTCTTCTTTGTATAAATACTTCACCTTTACCAAAAAAAAAATCACAAACCAAAAAAATGGTATAAATACTTCACCTTTTACCAAAAAAAAAGTATCCATTATAGTGTTATATTCAAAGGATTAGGTATCTTGGAGTATTATATTGTATCTAAGAAATAATAGTCATTCTTATTTCCAAAGATTTCCAAAGGATTAATAATCATCCCCTAACCACAAAACAATGGGTGGTAATGTATAGCTTACAAAGAGGTCGCAAGTAAAATCCATGTGCACTTTTAATATTTTTAAGTTTTGAACGGCTCATTATATTCTTATTCTTTTTGGTGTCCAATATAATGGTCAACTAAAATCAATGATATGAAATGTGATTATAATAGCATAAACTAAGAAAATGTAATATATAGCATGCAAATAAATATAAAGTCACAAACCCGCACTTTCCGTCGGACAAATCACAAATTATACGTTCATGTGTGGTTTGGTTATACTTGAACCACATGATTGGAAGGTTCGGAAAACAAGCTTATTTTAAATTAATTACTACTTTAATAATGATTTAATCGACAACTGAACAAGCATATTTTCTGAAAACTGCCCCCCATCATTTCACGGAAATTCAGGGAAATGTTGAGAGAAGATCGATGGTGCAAATTGAAGTAAAATATATACAAACTTCGAAAGTTTAGGAAATAGAATTAAATGATTAATCATATAATAATGTTGACCAAATACGATTCATGGAATTTTTACCGTCCAACATCACTTGCTGTATACATGTGATGATGTGATACGTGAACAGTAGACCAATGGAGGCAACGTCTAACAAATTGGTAGACATGTTGCAAGATGTACACATGTTTGTAGAATTTCATTTTTTTATTACTCGGAATCTTAATCCATTTTAGATTGATATGATTACGTATATAAATATATATATATATATCTAATTATTTACTTAGATTTCCCTCATTTATATCTTACTTGATATTACTAATCACTGTTATAAAATAAAAAATGTAGTATATCATGCCTGATAACTTGACGAAACTATCTAAATCAATAGTTGGCGAAAAAACAAAATTACATCAATTCAGTTGTTGTATTAGACTAATGAATTTTTTCAGCAAAAAAAACAAAAAAAAGAAGACTAATGACTTTTTATTTTTTATTTTTTTATTTTTTTTTTGTCATCACTAATGAGTTTTTATTGTTTAGTTAAATTTTTAGTATGTGCATCTAATTAATTAGAATCATTTTTTTTTTTTTTGGTTTCAGACAACACTTCAATTATTGGTGAAACAAAAATACATTAGTATCCGCATATAACTAATATGATACAAAATTGCTTAACACAAAAACATAAATGGTTTTCAGAAGAATTAAAACGTAAAAATACTAAGTGGATGGTGGTTTAGTCGTCTTAAGATTGATTCATTAATTCAATTTCAGTTGAAAATATTGATTTACGTCTTAAATGTGTTATTATTCGTATCTAACTCCGGATACCGTAAAAAATTATGGGTCAAAAGTTCATAATTTTATTTTTTGTCAAGGTCAAAAGTTCATAATTTCCAAATTTTATATTAAAAAGTAAAAATTTCATCAATATTGTGAACACAAATTTCATAGTTTTTTTTTTTTTTTTTTTTGGCAAACGTATATTCATATTTTCAAAACCTAAAAAAATGTTAAAAGATTATTCATAACCTATACTAAAACAACCTGCCAACGTTTAGCAGAAGGCCACGTCTTGTGAACCCACATTGCAAGAAAATGTAGGGATTCCATGCACAGCAGATACACAAACCAGTGTATTTTTTTAATAGTTAAAGAATTGCTTATAGAAAAGTCAGACTATTCACGGATTTAAACCATTTTTCTTTACCATAGTCTCTCTCGTCTTCCCTTATATTATCAACTCTTCTCTCCTTACCTCGTTCTTGTTCCCCTCTTGTCAAACTTCACCCCTGTTTCTATTTATGCAAGAGTTATCGAGAGAGAGAGAAAACATATTTTGATTTAACAAAAAAATAGACAAAGCAAGAAGAGATGAACCTTAAGGAGACGGAGCTTTGTCTTGGCCTCCCTGGAGGCGCTGAAACCGTTGAATGTCCGTCCAAGTCGGGCGTAGGTAACAAGAGAGGCTTCTCTGAGACTGTTGGTCTCAAACTCAATCTTCAATCTAACAAACAAGGACCTGTGGATCTCAACGTTAATGGAGCTCCCAAGGAGAAGACCTTCCTTAAAGACCCTTCTAAGCCTCCTGCTAAGTAAGTTCTATTTACACAATTCCGCAAGAGGAGACTTTTTTTTCTGGGAAAAAAAGACTAATAGTTGATATAAAAGTTCTTAATATATATATATATGAAAGATTTATGGATGCATAAGTAATAACGTTATTGAGTGAGCGTTGTTATATTGTATGTAGAGCACAAGTGGTGGGTTGGCCACCGGTGAGGAACTACCGGAAAAATGTTATGGCTAATCAGAAGAGCGGCGAAGCGGAGGAGGCAATGAGTAGTGGTGGAGGCACCGTCGCCTTTGTGAAGGTTTCCATGGATGGAGCTCCTTATCTTCGGAAGGTTGACCTCAAGATGTACAAAAGCTACAAGGATCTCTCTGATGCCTTGGCCAAAATGTTCAGCTCCTTTACCATGGGTAAGCATTTTCAGATATAGACGTCGATTTTTTTTTTTCTTATTTGTTTCTCATATAATTTTACAATTTTCTTAAACATTGTATACACAAAAAAAAGGTTTTTTAAGAGAAATTTCCAAACAGAATATTATTGGTTTTTGCGTTTACATTTTGTAAATTTTTAAAATAAAAAAGTGTATTATTGAAAGAGAATTACTGAATTTTTTTTTTGTAACTTCACATGCATGTAAACGTAAAACCTTAACATATAAACTATTGAAGCCATACTCTTTTTTTTTTTTTTTTTTGTGGCATCATGTTCATGCTCTCTTTATATGACATTAGAATAATATGCTAAGTTTTGAGATTTGTTTGATTATAGGGAGTTATGGAGCACAAGGGATGATAGATTTCATGAACGAGAGTAAAGTGATGGATCTGTTGAACAGTTCTGAGTATGTTCCAAGCTACGAGGACAAAGATGGTGACTGGATGCTCGTTGGTGATGTCCCCTGGCCGTGAGTTTTCTCATTCTTCTTGCTTTCACTAATTAATATGACCAAAACTGTTCTCTAACTAAAAAAACTATATTCTCTAGCTTGAGAAAATCATTATTATTGATATTACTTATAAGAAAATACCCAAATGATAATCGAAATTGTGTTATAAATACGCACAGCCATCTTTTGGTTGGCATGGGACAGAACTCACAGAAGATGTTTATATAAATATTTACTCTTCAATATGTTAGCTCATTTGTAGCTGGCACATATTCTTTTCACTTTCAATAGATTTCTAAATTTATAGTCACCAACCCAAATCTCGATTTCAGGATGTTTGTCGAGTCATGCAAACGTATGCGCATAATGAAAGGATCCGAAGCAATTGGACTTGGTACGTTTTCTTTTTTGTTCATTTCTTTAAGTGGCTCTTTTTATTTTCCAATAATGTTCTTGCTTTTTGTTTCACCCAATTGGTTTCAGCTCCAAGAGCGATGGAGAAGTTCAAGAACAGATCATGAACAAACAAAAAAGACGAGGACAACATTGATTTTTTTGTTTTTTTTGGTATTGTTATGATCATATGTGTTTGTAATTTTTAATATTGGAAGTATATAGGAAAATAGAATTGTCTTCGAAAACAAATCATAAATTTGTATTTGACCAGAAGATCCAAACTTAAAATATGTCTGTGTTTTTGTTGAAATTAGTCTGTGTTTTTGTTTTCATCTCTTAATTAGTCGAAATCAATTTTTAATATGTAATAGTGATAGTAATTCTATAGAGTTCTTTTTTTGCTATTTGAAATGCTAAATGCTAACACTATATATAATTTATGATAGGTAAATTTACGTTAAAGTAATTTATCTCCACTTTTCTAATGATAACTACTTTATGGTTTTTTTCGTCGTTATTTTCTCGTATATTTTCTTTACAGATTAATATCTATATATTTTAAATTTGTAACTATGTTTTATGTATCTAAAAACATTTCACATAACAATTTCTTAAGAAAAATAAGAAATATGTTGGTATATTTTTGACTGAAATGATTTCCAATAATTTATCAGTTTGTAAATTGCTCTACTTTTTGGTTGATCAAGTGAATTTAACATTTCACCAAAATTAAATTATATCCAACACTTAAAATTAAAATTTTAATTTATTTTATTTATAAGAAGGGTCTACAAAATTATTTACTAGTTAAAGGCTAATAAATAATATAATTTTTTTAATTAAAATTAGTATTTATAATGTTATTTTTAGGAATCAATATTTTGTTTACCAATTCATCAAAAATGTTTTTTTTTTCTAATATGTATATGAAACCCAAAGTAACAAGTTACCATTCAATATTTGAAAAAAACTAAAATCTACACAAAAAATCAAAAACAAAAAAAAATCAAAAACCAACAAACCATTATAAAACCTACAAAACCAATTTTCATGGTTTTAAGTTTTCTTTTTTCTTTCCTAATTATGTGGGATTAAATCATTAAATTCAGGACCCATGAGAGGCGTAGGGAACAGGAGCATGTGCATGTTCATGGGTATTTCAAATTCAGTCCATCCCCATTATGCTAATGTACCCCGAGCACTATGAAGCATACTTTTTTTTTTTGTTAAAAGAAAAGTATATATACAATTCTTCTTTCCTTTTGGAAAATCTCTCTATTTTTTTTTAAAAAAATATCTTAAGAAAGTTTGTTATTTGACACACACACAAAAAAAAATTTGTATTAATTTCCCATTAATGAATTGAATAATTCTAGTTACTCCTATAATGACATGACAATTTAGATGATTGAAATAATGATTCAAAAATAATTCTCTTCCCGAAATGATTGGAATAACATCAGGATAACTAAACCCAGGGCCGGCCCAGACCTAAAGCCCAGCAAGCAGATGCTTTAGGCATCAAATTCTATATGTATTTTAAAGGGCATCAAAATTACAAAAGTGTCTTGTAGTCTAGTGGTATTTAGGTCACTTAAGGATAGATTGTTGAGGGTTCGATCCCTGGCAACTGTAAATTTTTATTTTTTTTTATTTTTAGTTGTTGTAAATGGACATCAAAATTTGTTGGGCTTTAGGCATCATGAATCTTTGGGCCGGCCCTGACTAAACCCTTAGTTTTTTTGGTCGGTTTTGGTATGGCATAAGGCGAGAATCCCTAAATATGCTTTTACTGTTTGACTCTTTGTTTTTAACCGCAACCCTACTATTGATAAAAAGTTTGTTGGGGATACGATGTTGAACAAAATTGCCTTAATATGGTGTTGAGGGGGAATCTGTGAACTACTTGCACTTTATTTGTTCCTTCTCAGCTAAAATCTAGACTAGAATTGTGGCAAAACTGTTGCCTACAACCTTACCTATTGAGTTGGTTTCCATCATCCACTGATTATCAACAACTTTTACAAGTAAGGCCATCTCCATTGCACTGCTTCAGGCATGGAATGTATGTGTTTACGAAGTTTGGCGTGAGAGTAACAGCATGTCCCACAGCGGCACAACTCTTCCCCAACTTCGGTCTATTACAGAGTTTTCAATGTTGACATGAACAAAACACAGAGCATGGTCCTTCACAATTCGAAAAAGGTAAATCTTCTCCTATTGCGTTGCTTTGGACAACTCTTTTTTGGAAAATAAATTTCCCCCATTTTCTTCTTTTGCTTGGAGTGATTTATTTGTTGATCTTTAATCTTTTGAAGTTAGTCTTCTATGTGGAGTCCATCATGGAGACTAGTATTATTCATTTAGTTGCAAGCTATCCAGATCGTTGGAGCTCCCCATCAGATAAATTGTCAAGCTTTTGTCTTTATTTTCAATGTATCAATGTAATTGTGTCTTTAATTCTGCATCGTATGATCTTTCTTATTTTGAGATTCTACAATTTGCTTGACAAAAAAAATCGATTTGCTTATTTTTCATGGTATATGTTGATAATTCGTTTTTTTCCTGATTTTACCTGGTTGATTCTATTTAGAGATAATTGGGTGAAAGACAACCCTTTTTGGACTAATAAAATTTTAAGTATTATGCCAAATAGTCTAAGATATTAATAATAATTAGCCCACATTTATCCCGAATTTAACCCCACGCGCTGATGAAATTGGAGACATCATCAACACAATTACGCTGGACAATTGCAATAAATGCTTTATGTTATTTTCGAGGTTATGATGCGTGTCCTTGTTATCTGACTTTTACGTGTTTAATACCTAATTTGTTAGATCCGATTTGGACATTCACAAATAATCATAGATGTATACTTTTATGCTTGCATGTAGTTATTTCTTAGGCATCCAGGAATATGGTGGATCTATGATTATTTGTGAATGTCCAAATCGGATTTTAAACCACAAACCTAATTGCATAAATATCTATTTAGCACTATATAGATCGATATATAACTTTATGAAAGTGTATGGATATGTAGCTAAATTTATAGATAACTACTAATTTCTTAATTAATTGGGACATGTTTTCTCAAAATGAATGCATGAGTGTATCGTCCATCTCCTTAAATCTCCATATACTCTTTATAGATCTATATGTGAAGGTCCAAAAATTGTTGTAAATACTATATGGAGGTCAATTCAAATTTGGCAAAACCTCAAATTAAAGCTGTCTACACTAAATGACAGTCACTTTGCCATGTCTGTCCCAAATAACTTTTAGTTCAACTGTTGAGCATTTAAGTTATGTCAGATTGTTTTTTCGGTTTCGTAAAGCCAAATACTTCTCCCTCACGCACATGACGTAAAAAATAGCTGATTTTCTCGTAAATACTTACCAATTGAATACCCATTTCAACGTTTATTTTTTTGTTGTCTAAGACATGCAGCCCTAATGTTTTTTTCTTAATTTGATGCCCAATAATACTTCTGCACAAATTGACTCTTCTTTTTATTCTTTAGTATAAATTTATTTTTGATATTTTAGTATTGCTTGTAAAAAAAATTTCTTCGAATATTTGTCGCATCACATGGACTAATGGAAAAACCAAGCTTTTAAAAACCTGAACTCAAAACATGAATTTGTCGCATCACAACACTGTGAAGGAAAATGATGGTTAAGTTTTAGATATGCCCTCAATTACATATATCATGTTTCATGTATTCAAGGCCGACCCTAAAATTTTAGGAACCCAAGCAAATTTTTGGAATTTCAAAAAGTTTCTTAAACATATAGATAAATTTTAAAATTTTATAGAATTGTAGGCTTTTTTTTGCAATATGATATAAATTTGGGGACCTATTTTATATATATAAAGTCTGAATTTTTTTTGGAGGCCCTAAACCCATGCTTCATTTTACTGGATTCAGGGCCGGCCTGCCTACATCAAAGTAAAAATTGTTTTTCAATGATTCTTATTAGCATGATGACTCTGATGATGATATATGTCCAAAACGCTTTCTTTAAGTCGTACAATGTTATTAACTATGTCTTTAAATTTTTTAAATATACATTAAAGTGTGACATATATAGTATATCCTAGTATATTTGTAATGATAGCACAAGCCGAAATCCCGAAATAACACTAACCAAAAACTCTTTTTTATTCTCTTATTTTTTTAGATTATCAAACCCCAAATATTGAAATCTTATAATGAGAGCTGATATCTCATGATGATAATTTGATGATGATGATGATGATGATGATGATGATAGTGTGTTGATAATATCAAGTTGATGATGAATTGATGATGATACCATGGTGATAATTATGACATGATGATAATGATGAATTAAAAACAAAGAAATGTTTATTTAAGAAAAAATGAATGTGCCAAATGGTTAACATATTTTAACCCATGGGTTACTATAGGTTTATAGCAACAATGAAGATAAATATATATATATATATATATATATATATATATATAGTTAGGCGTGATCTACTTAGACTATCTCCAATGTATAAATCTCTATTTTTTCTCCAATGTGTCATTCTATATCTTACTCTAAAATAGAGTTCGTGTAAAAAAAAAATCCTATCATTTACTCTATTTTAGAGTAAGATATAAAGTAGGATTGGAGAAAATATTACTCAATTAATAGAGTTTAGAGGAAAAAATATTTCTAGTCCATTTGTAAATGATTTAAAGAGATTTAGATAATTGTAGAATTAAATGATATATGATATATGATATATAATATGACATAAAATTAATGAAATAATATGATTTAGAAACAAAATAACTAATAAATTACGGCTTCTAACTAATTCGTTTTTAGGAAGTTTTCAATAAGCCGTTTATAAGTGTTTTCTATCACATAATTTTTTTTATTGAATTGCAATGCTACATCTCACAAGGAGAAAAATGCTGCATTTATCTATCGCCGGAAGATCATTTAGGATTACACTGAAACTTTACGAATGATGTCTTATTGATTAGGCGAATCATCTTCCAATCCAAGATCCAATCATTGTAGTATTAATGGTTTGTGAGATCATTAGGCTTATCGAGGGAAGCAATGAAGTTTAATATACGTCTAAAATGTTGGAATTTTCATTAGGTCGATTAGCCAAAAATTGCAACAGTTTGATGTCGATTAGGAAGACGAAAAATACAAGATCCCATATTAACCATGATAGCTAAAGATTGTATCACTTTGATATCGATTACAAAAATAATAACAATATAATGCATCTGCTTTTAACGACCACATGAAAACATTGTGTTAATTTACTTTTGTTTTAGTTTACTTCTTTGCTTATATCGTTTTATGTAGTCATTAATATATGTATCTCTTTCTATTTGGATGACTTTGGCCTTTGGGTATTATCTTTGTAAAGTTGATCTAACATAACGGTAATGAAAGATAGAGATGAGAAAATGTTAGGGTTTATAAGTTAAAAACAAACACAAAAGATATATTAAATAAAATTAACCTTTTCTTCTGATTCGGTTTTAAACAGTAAAAAGTTGGGGATGTGCCTTTAGTCAAGTGGTTAAGTCCACTTGACTCCGTCTTCTCCACCGGAGTTCGACTCCACTAAATTACGTTACCCCGCGTAGTAGGGATTGACTATGGATCGGGCCTTGTCGATCCAAAGATGTCAAAAAAAAAAAAACAGTAAATTAATTGGTTTTTTTTTGCTATGAAAATACTAGAAAAAATATAATCATCATTATTGTGAAAGTCCGCTTAACACCTAAACACCGTTTAGACCGACTTTCTTAAATATTAACTTAAAGAGATTTCCCACTACAAATTTTTAGGAAACTTTTACTCTAAAAAAATGTGTCACTCTCATTTGATTTTCCCTTCTAATTCCACCATAAACTTCGATTTCCTAGTTAATTTTGTTACTTTAATCATTCACGAGTAACACCCTAACCTTAGGAATCATAAATTTAATATTTATTTTGTTAGTGGGTTGAACCTACTTCAATTAAAAAAAAAAAATTCTGTCAAAAGTATACTAAAAGTTAAACATATATATCATTAATTAATAAAAATGAAAATTGGCTTATATCATATTACAATTAACAAATTAAGAAAAATGATGGGAAAATTGATGCCCCATCGTAGTCACCATGCCACCACCGTACATCGGAGCTCCTCCGCTTCCACTTCCAGCTCCACCACCTCCTCCTCCACCTTCCTTATCGCCTAGTCTCCCGGCCGTAGTAGTCTTCTCTCCTTCCACCTCCCTATACTTTTGCAGATAAACCTTTAGAGGCTCCACGTAATCCTCAAACCCTAGCGTAGTCATCGCCCAAAGAAGATCGTCACCGTTGATTGTCTTCCTCTTCTCTCTCTGACACTTGTCAGAAGCTTCACCGGTGATGAAACTTATGAATTCCGATACACACTCTTGAACCGTTTCTTTAGCGTCCTTGGAGATTTTTGCGTTCGCCGGAAGTGCTTTCTTCATGATCCTGCTAACGTTAGCAATCGGTAGAAACCTATCTTGCTCACGTGTTGAAGCATTTCCACCGTCTTTGTGTCCTCCTGAATCGTTGTCCGAATCCGCCATTTTAGATCGAGGAGACAATAGGTGGAGAAAGAGAGATAGATGTTTTGGGTCCGTTGGATCAGAGAGGATAATAATCGTATCGTGATGACACGTGGGTAGTTATTGGTCGATTATTTGTCGATAAGATTGGTACAAGTGGATGTTATTTGGATAGAGAAGAGAAAGACTTGATAATAACCGGTTCTGTTTTTTCGGTTTGCCTTTATGATAAAGACTTGAGTTCTGGTTATATATGTATTTTGGTTTATCACAACATATCAGCTTATTGGTTTTCCTTTTTCTATAATGCACACATGTTTAAATAGGGTTGTTTTCCACTATCCAACTCTTGATTGTGGATTGTTTGAGAATGAATTTTCTTTAACATATTTTCTAGTAGATTTCAAAACAACTCCAACAAGTTCCTTTTCTTAACTGAGAAACCTGACAAATTAAAGCATCCAATCTAATTTTGTAGAGCTCGTATCTCAAGTAGAACTAGAATCTTTTGACAAAATGCTCTTTCCCTAAAGTAGAGAGGAAATGAATGTGAGGGATTTCTTTACCTTCTTGGTGAAGATGAATGAGGGAGAGGGTCACATTTTGTTCTCTTTTATGTAGTTTTATGTGTTAAGCAATGGTATCTTGATGGAGTTCTCTCACCCATTGAAAAAGTAAAAATGATGATAAAATAGAAGAGACTTAGAAACCTTTCTCAAATGAGAACTTTTGAAAAACTCTTTTAGATACTCATTTGACATTTGCCTTCATATGATTGGTTTAACTTTTTTTATAATTTAAATTTTAAATAAATAGTTTAAATTAATAAAATAGTATATTTGAGATATCCAATAGGGTTCTTGACAATGAATATGCTCTAATTGTTTGGAAACAACATAGAAGTAAACTTTTATGATATGTCACATTCATAAAGGGTTTACGCGGATAGGCACTTCTCCTTCGTAACATGACGATTCTATTTTCAATTTTACGAGATGTGATTTCGATGATATCGTCGTGATCTCCAATTTCCTCGTAAGTCTCGGATTGATGTCGTCGTGATCTCCAATTTCCTCATAATTCTCGGATTGATGTCGTCGTGATCTCCAATTTTGAAAGTTTCAGAAGAAAAAACGAGATTTTAAGCTTCTCAATTTCCAATTGTTAAACAATTACAAAGTTAATTAACAAAAGGGATTTCAAGCATTTGTTTTTCGTTTGTGTTAATTGATCCATATTATATCATCTTCTCCGATTGAATAGACAAATTTGGTTTCATCTTCTTTGATTGATGTGGCTTCTCCAAGCCATAATGTCCACAATTTTCATGAATTGTTCATCATTCCAAAAGCTTTAAAACATATTATATATACATATCTCCTCCTATATATGAATTGCTACAACATTTTCAAGTTGACTTCGATTTTGTTAATGCTCACATGTTTCGTGAAGACGATACGAGATTCACAATTTGACGGAAATAAAAGAGGAGAAAGATGACTATGTTGATGTTATGAAGACCGATTTTTATAAGCTACAAATATACAACTGTTTGAAGCGTTCATGTACCAGTCGTGAAGTAGTACAAGAAGTGATACGTGAAGTGAAGCTGAAGAAACCGATGAAGTAGAGCCTCTGAGCTTTGTTCACTCGATGCACAAATTGCGATCTTGACGACTCCTTGTTCTTCCAACTCCAACGTCTCTTTCTACTCCTTTGGCCACTCCTCTGTTGATGGTGTTGTTGCCGCTTTCCTCAAGGATCAGAAGAATCTTGTTCGTGAAGAGAATCTAGGGTTAGGGTTTTGGTGGGAAGATGAGAGTCTTGCCAAATCGGAGAATTTGGAGGAGTTGAGGGAAGCGATTGGCTCGATGTCTAAGATCTTGAGAGATCTGAAGGAACTGACTTTGGATTCAGGGAATAATTATCAAAGAGATCATCAAGACGACGTGAAGAACAACGACATCAAGATAGAGAATCTTGTTTCACACGAAACCCTAAATCTCAAGTCTAGTTCGGAAACTTTTGGCATTCTTGATGATTGTCTCAAAACAGAAACGTAGATGATTGTATTCGATGATCAATTCTTGGAGATTTCTGAAAGTACAGACAAACCTACAAGATACCTGGATGATCAAGAGCTGGATCTTGATCAATACATAGATTTTGAGAGTTTGTTTGATGGCGATTACGAGAGCACTCAAGAGCATCCAGAGACTGCTGAAACTCGTCTTTTGATAGACTGTTAACTTTGATTAGAGATATTTCTTGTCGATCCGGTTTGACTTCGACAAGTTTCCATATACTTTCATGGAAAATTGATTGAACTGAACTCTGTTTTGGTTTCGCTTAATGATAAGGTTTGAAGCAAAAATCACTGCCAAGAACTACAAGTCTCTCTATCAAAGCCTCTTTGCAGTATTGCAGAAGCATTAGATTTGGTAAGTAAATACCATCTTTCACCTATATGATAGTACTAAACACGAAAAAAGTATCTAAAGACTTCAACTATGACGTAATGGTTGGGTTACAGCAAATTACATGTATGGCTCATCCGACCCTGTAAGAGAGATGGGACCAAATGAATCGTTGCGTTCCAAAGTCGCAAGAACATAATAGTCGTTTCTTCTCTTGTGTGGCTTCTCCTTAAACCGCACAGCCAACACCCCAAACCGCACAACAACTCCAACAGCAATCTTTGAGAGATCGTCTTTCTGAAAATACGGCTTCTCGTCCTCCAACAATGGTGAGTGGACATAATGGTAATCCGGCATTTTCAAGAACGAAAGGTATGCGTATCTGAGTGGTCCTGACCTGATAAAAGCTCCGTTCCACAACACTTTTTTAACAGTACCTTGCAAGATATCTCCTCTAGCAGGCAAGAAAGTGCGGCATGTGAAGGACACTGGGAATGTGAGGAGATGTGCTTGGTGATTGTCTTTGTTCTCGTCATTGTTGTTCTTGTTGTTACCGATGCTTTTCAGAGCAGTGATACCGAGATAGAATCCGTGTTCCCTGCATGCTTTCTCGTGTATTAGATCTTTGAGTAGTCTGCCTAGAATCTGATGGTGCGGCGCTTGGCCATTCAAGTGATTGGCACATATAGCCACATCCCGAGCCATTTCTACTTCTGAAAACATCTGGTTTATCTGTCACCTGAAAAAAGCACAAAAGATTCTAAGTTCAAGGATGAATCGTAAAAACCGCAACCCAAAATAAGTCCTAAAATCTAAATGATAACCATCAAGCCTCAATAAAGATTATATAAAGCAGTAAAAAACACAGGCATAGAGAAAAAAAAAACATAACGTTTAAAAAAACACTTGAACTAATAGCATTTAACCTTATATGGTACCTGCATATAAGAAGAACTTAGTTACTGATCAGCTCACTCAATTCTACATCAGAGAATAGGAATCAATCAAGAGACAAAATTAAGAACAAAGTACTCAAAATTGAAACTACTAATTTTCATTAAACAAAACAAAAAAAAAAGCACTGAAACTGCCGCAACAAGACTAGAAGCCAATAATTTCTGAGAAGATCACACACTCTTAAGTGATCTTACAAAGATACAAGATGATTACTTTTTCCCTTTCCAAGAAAACCACAAGTACCTTCAAGAGAAATAGGCATTGATCTATGATTCCGACACTAACTAGCTACAGAAACATATGTAGCTGTCTGATCTCCAAAAACTCAAAAGAAGTCTCTGCATATGTTTTTGGAAAGAACTTCATTTACAGTGAAACCCAACATCGTAAAATGCAAACTCCATACCCTTTATCACCAAAAATTAGACATCAATTCATTATCAAAGTGTTTACAAGTTCCAATTTCACTACCGAGAAGGATAAAAGGTGAAATCAAACGAAATCTTCAACACAAGAAGGAGAATTTTCGCAAATTTTAGTAGCAAACGAAAAATCTAACCTTGAGAAGAAACTTCGAAATCTCATAGAGCCCGAAGAATCGTACGGTAAAAGAGAGGCACACGCAAAAGAGTTCTCTTTTCTACTCTTCCCTTCTCTGCATAAGCATAACTAACTGGTTTTGACCGAAAAAAGTTGGATCCGGGCATAAGGCGTATGTTACTGAAATCTCTTTATTTCTGATAAAATGAGCAGTTTAGGCGTAGTTTAGCTATATACAGTTATATTTTTCTAAAATGCGCCCTTTGTGGTGGTCCTTTGTTTGTTCTTGGACTGGTTACATTAAACCATGTATCCAAACAACCCTCTAATCATCTCGAACATCTTATTCTTTCCCCGCCATGGATAACACAGTCTCAGAGCTTTCGTATCGTAGCTGAAGGAATCAAAGGTCAGAACTTTCCGTTGTATCTTCTCGGAATCGTATTTCTGTGAGTAACCAATTGAGAGTATTTGGTGTCGGAAATGGCGATTAATTCAAGTCGCCATTTTTGCCCGACGACTACTTCGGCGAAGTTTTCCGATTCGTTGGGAAGCTCTTTCTGCAAGTTACATGGAAAAAGTTCGTCAATTTCACTCAGGTCCTATATATTCGGTTTTTCTTTTATAAAAAAGGTTAAGCGATTATCGTGTGAAGGTAGTGGTAGTAGCAGTAGGAATGAGAATTGGAATAGAAACCAGAGGCAGAATCAATTTAGACCTTCAAAGGTAGTGTTGAATCGTCGAAAAGAAGAGAGGTTTTCGGATTTAGGAGTTATGAGTGGTGAGAACAGTAGTCGAAGTAGTGATGTTGGTGGTGGTGGGAGTACAATGGAGAAGATTGTGGAGAAGTTAAAAAAGTATGGATTTGTGGATGATGATCAGTTTCAAGATAAGGAAGTTGAACAAGAGAGAAGGATTGAGGAAAGGGCGGTGGAGGATAGATTCTATGTTAAAGAAGGAAGAGGTGGATTCTCGGAGGAATCACCATTTGGTGTATTTGGAGGGAATGAAGTTAAGTTTCCTTGGGAGAAGGTGAGTTCTATGGAGAAGAAAGAGTTAGTAAATGGAGAGTGGACAGCGAAGAAGGAGAGTAGATACTCGTTGGCGGAGAGGACTCTTTCGGAATCTGAGCTGAATCGATTGAGGAATGTGATGTTTCGAACAAAGAGTAAGATGAGAGTTACGGGTGCAGGTGTTACTCAGGCTGTGGTAGATGCAATTCAGGAGAAGTGGAAGAGCTCAGAGATTGTGAGACTTAAGATTGAAGGAGCAAGTGCCCTAAACATGAGAAGGATGCATGAGATATTAGAGGTTTTACTTCTTATGAACCCCTAATCAGTGTTTATATTTACAAAGGCTTAATCTTTGGAGTTTTGAAATGATAAGTCAAAGAATTGAAAGTTTCTAGTGTCCTTTCTTTTTCATGGTCAAGTGTAATAGTAATTATATCTTCACTGTGGCAGAGAAAAACTGGTGGTTTGGTGATTTGGAGGTCAGGAACTTCCATCGCATTGTACAATTACAAAGGTGGCAATAACAGAGATGGATCAGGGAACATGAACAAGCAAATATACAGAAGAGCAGAGACATTGCAGTCTTCCTTACCTACGAATACAAGTACAGTGGATCAAAGTGTTCAACTAGTCCACCTTCCTCAGCTAGAGAAGGAGCCAACCGTTGTGGGAAATAAAGACAGGACATCTCCACATGAAGTAGAATATGAAGATGAAATAAATGAACTGTTAGAGGGTCTTGGTCCTCGGTACACAGACTGGCAGGGAGGTTATCCGTTACCTGTTGATGCTGATTTGCTTCCTGGGATAGTTCCTGTTTACGAACCCCCTTTTAGGGTACTTCCTTATGGAGTGAGATCAACTCTGGGAACAAAGGAGGCAACCTCTTTAAGAAGAATTGCCACAGTTCTTCCTCCACACTTTGCTTTAGGTATTTGATTTCCTTTATGACTTTTTGGAGAGCCTACTAAGGTCTTTGAAGAGTGAGATTTTCTTTTGATGTACAGGTCGAAGTAGACAGCTGCAAGGGTTGGCAACAGCCATGGTTAAGTTATGGCAAAAGAGTTTGATTGCCAAGGTTGCCCTTAAACGTGGTGTACAACTGACTACCAGTGAGAGAATGGCTGAGGACATCAAGGTAATAAGGATCCACATCCGAGTAACATTTGATTGTTTAATGTGGATATCATTTGAATGAATTAGAAGGTTTCTATATTCAATGCTGAATGTTTTATATCATGATCTTGGTAAGTGACTGCAGAGATTGACGGGAGGTATGCTGCTCTCGAGGAACAAGGACTTCTTGGTTTTCTACAGAGGGAAGAGTTTTTTGTCACCAGAAGTAGCTGAAGCATTAATGGAGAAGGAGAGGCTTGTAAGGACTTTGCAAGACGAAGAGGAGCAAGCACGTCTAAGAGCATCATCGGCTCTGGTTGTCCCAAGTATAAAAGCTAATCAAAACCTTGCAAGAACTTTGCAAGACGAAGAGAAACAGTCACGTCCATCGACTCTGGTTGTCCCAAGTACTAAAGCTAATCAAAACCTTGTTTCTGCCGGTACTCTTGGAGAAACTCTTGATGCAACTGGTAAGTGGGGGAAAAGTCTGGATAACGATGATCATGTGGAGGAAATGAAACAAGAGGTCGAGAGAATGAGATCTGCAAAACTTGTCAGGAAGTTGGAAAGGAAACTTGCTTTTGTGAGTTCCTGACTTGACCCTATACTTCCTATCTGTCAAATTATATTTCACATATTGAGTTAAGAGATTGCTCCTGAAATTAAGCGGGTTATTACTTAACTTTTCTAGGCTGAGAAAAAGCTGCTGAAAGCTGAACGGGCTTTAGCTAAGGTGGAGGAATCTCTGAAGCCAGCAGAGCAGAGAACAGACCTTGAGGGCATAACTGAGGAAGAGAGATTTATGTTCCAAAAGCTCGGATTGAGGATGAAAGCTTTCTTACTTCTTGGTAAAACATCTTTTTACCAATGTGTAGGCTGATGTAGTTAAGTATGTTTGACTCGTCTGAGAAACTTGAATTAATTGCTTCAGGTCGAAGAGGGGTGTTTGATGGGACTGTAGAGAACATGCACTTGCACTGGAAATATCGGGAGCTGATCAAGATTCTTGTAAAGGCTAAAAGTTTAGAGGGTGCGAAGAAAGTGGCAATGGCCCTTGAAGCCGAGAGTGGAGGTATCCTGGTTTCTGTTGACAAAATTTCCAAAGGGTATGCCGTAATCGTGTATAGAGGAAAAGACTATAAGCGTCCTACCACGTTGAGGCCTAAAAACCTCTTGACAAAGAGGAAAGCTTTGGCACGTTCTCTTGAGCTCCAGAAACGCGAGGTTCGTGATAAAAAAAATATGCATCAACGTTTGTTGATCTCAAATTCTGCAAACTTATCATTGGTTTCTACATTTTATGACCAACACCTGAGTCTATCAAGTTATAAACCTCAACGGATAACACTTATTTTGCTTTCTTATTTGGATACTTTGCATTCAACAGGCTCTTATTAAACACATTGAGGCGGTACAGACGAGATCAGAGCAGCTGAGAGCTGAAATTGTATGGTTCCATTTATCTGTATCATTTACTGATCAAACAAAGAACGCATTCTCTTGTTCTTCAATGTTTGCTAACCCGAGGCCCTGAATTCACTCTGTCAGGAACAAGTGGAACTTGTAAAAGACAAGGGAGATGAAGCGTTATACGACAAGCTTGACATGGCTTATTCTTCTGATGAGGAGATTGAAGAAACAGATGTATGATGTTTCTGCCTTATATTCTCTCTTTATTTTCTTGAATTTTAACCATCATGAATTTTGTGTTTGAGGTCTCTCACATTCGTTTGTTCTCTTTTGGTTGGCGTAGGGAGAGGAAGATGACATGTATTTAGATACATACGAAGACGAGGGAGAAGATGGTGAAGAAGGTGAGATTCAGGCCAAGGGTTCACTATCTGAAACAGATGTTGGATTTGGTTCAGATGATGAACTCTGGGATTCAGACGAATCAGACACAGAGTTTGGCGATGATTCTGCATCCTCCACAACACCAGAAACAACCTTTGTAGATCTGCAGAACGAGGAACTTCATGTGCAACCATAAGTGGTAATAAAGAACGGCTGGTGTGCACTGTGCAGTGAATTGATGCAGGGGATAAGTTTTGACATCTTGTTCTTTGTTGATCAATGCAATGAGAGATACTAAGTGTATCACATGTAAAGATTTTAAGCTTTTAGAAGCTATGTAGATTCATTTAGTATATAAAATACATATCTCACTATCCTGTGTAACGAGATAGGACTCAAAGAACTTAAAAGACTCCATAGTTTAAAACTACTACTCTACATGGTTCACCGTCAAAACCACATGCCCTTCTCATAGGAGTTGCAAGAAGAATACATTTCCCTTTGTTATATGTATATGTTCTTCTTTTCTGTCAAGGGAAGATATAATAAGAATACGACAAGGTTTTTCACCTACGAGCCAGTCTCTGGCCAGCTCCAGCCAGTAAAGCCTTACCAATGATCCCAGTGTGAAGACCACAAGCCAATGCGACACCTCCTACAACAACCCATTTCCAGTCCATTCTCAAATGGTCCCGTTGTCTCCTAGCATAGTCCATTGTTCTGCTTCTGTCTTCATCTCTTGAAGATGATTCTGCAGAATCCATGTTCAGTTTTGTAGTGATTCTTGCCATTTGGGCAATCCGGGATAGAGATGAGTCTGATTTTCGGGCGGATTGGTATGCTCGTAAACCGGAGTTTAGCTTCTTTACAGCTCCCCACATGCCATGACGGACACCTAACTTTGCTACATCTTTTGGGATTCCCATGTCTTCGTAGTGGACTAAGGATACTTCACAAGCTGTTAGCCCATCTCCTTTTCGGGATTCAACTGCATTTTTTTTATATTTGATTTAAAATCAAATTCTATGCCAGCTTTTAAAGAAGAGGAAAAGACTTGCAAATCAAAAGGCTTACCTGCTCTGATAACCCAACTTGAGAAATAAAGCTCAACACGCCTTGGCTTATCACGCTTTGGTAGAGCTGGATAAGGAACTCCCTATAATATTGAACAGGTGTTAGGTATAGTTATGCTTTGAGCTTTTGTTTAGAGCTCTAACAAAGAATAACGTTATGCATTTTACGGATAAGGCGCTTATCTTCAGAACTAAGGCGCTTATCTTCTTTGATATATCCATAAGATAAGCGCCTTTGTTCTGAGCTTTGAGCTTTGTTTCAGCATAAAAACTTAATGTGAGGTTTAGGCGAAACAGATGTTGGATTTTCTTTTTTTTGACCAAAGTTTTCAACTGATAAAGTGATGACAATGAAACTTATTAGAGCTGGAAACTAAAGAGACAATGTCCTGTTTCCGGAATTATTTCCAGGCATTTAGAATTCTCAAAACTAAACTTTGGTGTTCTTTCCCCTACAGATAAATGCTACACACTTTGATCCATGGAAGGGAAAAAACAAGTTATTGTAGTATGACGTTACCTTTGTCACACAGTAATACTTATTTCCAGACTCCCATATTCTCCGGCCAATGATATACTCTCGGTCGCTGCAGAAAAATGGAAACTGCACGCAAAAGAAATTAGTAATGACAACAGTTTTTAATGTGGGAGTTATCTATTAAGATGACCGAAGTATCAAAAGTCCAGAGACCTTTTTTCTCCACTGAACAATCATTGTTCCTGTCTGAGTGTCCTCCTCCAAGGTTTTGAAGTTGGCAAGCATAAAATCCCATTTAGGTCGAAATTCATCATCCCAGAAGAAATCCCTAACAATATCTGGAGATGCATCCTCAAACACAGTTCGACTGCGATAAATAACAGGACCTGTCTGATACACAATACAACCTTTCAGGCTAAAAACACAATTTGATCAAATGTTTCTATCATCTAGTATTTAAGAATTCCCCGGTTCTATATAGCAAGAAAACAGTTTCAAGTAAAATGCCATAAAAATGTCACACAAAGGAGTAAATGCAACAACGCATCAGATCAAGCCCAAAAGGAACCAAAGCTAAACAAGGAAACACAGTGAATACTACTAGAAACCTCAATTGATAGATCATTAAATATAGACCGTCCATAGCTATCCCAAACAAACATATCTCCCTCATAATACCAATAATCTAAAAGCAGGTCTCTAAGTCAGATGTCATTCAAATTTCTCGGCTTACTACTCAATGACTCGACTTGTTCCTTGAGCTACATCATTCAGGCGTACCATAAGAAAACAAATACAAAGCAAGAGTATAAAATTCAGACTACCTCAGGCTCATGACGCCAAGCCTGGTAGCTCATATTTGGAGTAGTCTTATCCATCATAGATTGCCATTCCATAGCTGCATTTCCAACTTCAAGCAGCTGAAGCAAATGCTCTAAATCATTCTCTGTCACAATATCCTCTGTCACCCTCATGTTATCGCTACCTCTGCGAATATAACCAAATTATCCTCAGATAATTCTAACCAATTAAAGAAAAAAATCATTTCTTTTGCCAATGTGATTGCTATACTAAAAGATAATCCAAAATATATACCTTATCTAGCTAAATTAAAAATAAACGTTACGTTTTAAAACAGAGAACTAAACTTCTACATCTTTCAATAACTAACCTTGAGACTAATCCTGATTCATCACTCTCTTCCACAGGAGCTGAACCGGTCGCCGATTTATTAGCTCTGGTATCGTTCCTTGACCAGATGGTGCGACAAACGGAGAAAGCAGAGAGAGCGGTGAAAGCAAGCCAAAGCCTACGAGCACCAAATCCAGGAGGTGCAGTCCATAGAAACCGAAGCTTAGAACGAAACCCTAAATAGATCAAACCGGTCCATCTTGGACGCCAAGACCATCCGATTAATAACCCGATCATGACGGCGAGCCAAATCGGAACTGCACATAGTAAGATGTCGACAAATGTCTCTGTAAAAGAGGGATTCTTAAAGAAATTCAATAGATCAAAATACGTCTCATCCATAGCGATTCTCACGTCTCCGATTTGGATACGAGAAAATGTCAGATTCCCGAAGGAAAATGGGATTCTGAGATCGTCAAAAATTTAAACGACATGAATCAGGAGAATCGAAGACGAAGACGAAGAAGAGATAAGAATAATTTGTTTTTATTTAATTGAGTTTGGTGATTAATTGATTAAATCAGAAAAAAAAAAAAATCTGATATTATTTGCTGTGCTTGAAACGACGTTGGCGGGTGAAAGGAAATGATAAGGAAACAAGCACGGTGGCGATGACGTGGCGCTTTCGTTGACTGACAATTCATATCACACGCGTCAGATCTAAGCGCGTCGTGTTCACTACATAGAGGAATATACTCAAGAATCAATTATTGTGTTAGCATTAGAAGCACGTTTACTCAAATTTATTCGTTTATTTATTTGCAACAATTGTAGGAGATAAGAGCCTAATTAGTCTATCGAATAAGGTTAAATTTGGTTGATTTCCGAATATTAAAAAGGAATTTTCACTGAGCATATCCAAATGAGGAGGTGAGTTACACGCGAGGGTAAGGGAGCGTGGAGAACAAAAGGTAGAAAATAGTGGATAAGGGAGAGATTCACGTGTGTTGCTGGAAGTTGGGGTAATAATGCCAGTGGTTTAGCCAATAGCTTTTAGCCATGACTTGGGTCACCGTTAAGACGGTAAAAGCCCATTTAGGCCCATTTAGAATGGAGCGTGCGATAAATCTCACACGTGCTAAAAACGCTTTAACCGAAAAATTCAAAATTCGTATTTGGGTCAAGCGCAACGGTTCGAAAACGGTAACAATGGATACGCCATCGTTGAGGCTACTATTCGTCAAGGGTCCAAGAAAAGGCGATGCTCTAGAGTACAAACTTGGGTCTACGATTCGTGTTGGTCGAATCGTTCGTGGTAATGAAATCGCCATTAAAGACGCTGGAATCTCTACTAAGCATCTCTGGATCGGATCGGTTTCTGGGAATTGGGTGGTTCAAGATCTTGGATCTTCCAACGGCACTTTATTGAACTCGAAGGATCTTGATCCGGAGACGCCGGTGGATCTCGGAGATGGCGATGTTATCGAATTCGGTGAGTATACATCTATTGTGGTGAATTTTGTGATTGATGATGTTTTGGAGGAGAAGCCTCCGAGGAACAATAGGCGTCAGGCTAATGCGAGAAAGCGAATTAGGGTTTCTGAAAGTAGCAATTTGGATGTGAAAATTGCGAGTAAGCCGAGTTCTAGGGTTAGGAAAGTTAGGAAGATCGAGGATTCTGAGAAATTAGGGGTTACTGATGGATTAGAAAAGGAACTTCTGGTAGAGAAAAAGGTAAACTTTAGGAATGTTGAAAGTATCCAGAGTTCATGTGTGAACTCAGTTAAAGTGAAAATTGAGGATTTAACAATGGCAGAGGAAAATTCAGGGAGGGGAGTGAAGAAGATTGAAAGTGTTGGAAAATCTTGTTTGGGAGTGGTTAATGTAGAGAAGGAGGAAGCTTTAAAGGAGAAGAGGACTACAAGGGCTACCAGAAGCAAGAAGATTGATATTGTTGGAGATCCTTATTTGGAATTGGAGATGGTTTTAAACCAAGCTAGAAAGAACAATGGGAAGAACAAGAAAGCAGAGCATAAGCGATTGAAGAGCTTTGAAGATGATGAGGTTACTGATTCTGGAGAGCAGGATTTAAGTTGTCCTGTTGAAGAAGATATGAAGAATGAACTTGATACAGATCTAAGAAAGATGACATTAGGAGCATTGTTCAGTTTTCTGGAGGGTCATCTGTCAAAAGGGATAAATAATGAGACAGAAAGTATGATTGAGCCTATGCGAAGTAAAACTCAGAGAGTTCGTGAGGTATATCGCGGAGCAGAGAAGAGTTCAAGCTAAAGCGTGTGTGTGTTGAATTGAAAAAGTGTGCAACTGATATGGTGGACACCTATGTTTGGTATAGCTTCACTTCATGAAATAAGAAGCACATACTGATAGGTACAAGTTTTCTTATGATGTGAATCTTAATGCTGTGGGCTTGGCTGTGTTACTTAGAGTTTTGACTGCAATGATTTACTTGCGTTTTCTTTGCGTGTGAGACAAAGTAAACATTGAAGTGCTGATGTTTGAGTAGGTTCATAAGTATCAGACTTTTTCCCATTTTATAGTAGGTTTCAAGGACATCATCCTAGACATTTATATCAGTTTTGAAGTATATAAGTCATATTCCATTGGCGATTTTGTCTTAGAATACTGATGTTGAATGCTTGACCATGTATTTTACCAGATGCCAAGAAGGCTGACGTCTTTGCTCTAGTCTTTGTTTTCTTTTCATGTGTTCAAAGATAAATGCAAGTTCTTCAGAAGTGCCATGAAAAAAGAAAATCGTAAAGCAGGTCTAGATATCTGAATATTTCACTATAGCTTTAAATTTCTGGGAGATGAGGAAAGATATATTGATAGCTCCATTTTGTTCTTGTTTCTAACCCGAGCCTGTGCTGCTTTTGTTGTCACGAGAATGCTCATATTTTACATCAAGCAATTGTACACACTCTTCTCCTTACATAAGTATTCTTGTAACCGTGGAGTGACTTATGTCACTGATATTATGAAGTCGATGCGATTCTTGTAACCGTGGAGTACTATTTGGCCATCTCTCCTTGTGATTTTAACTTGTAAACTTTCATTGTTGATCTTAACTTGAATAGGGTATGCTATGTAAAGCACTGAAGGCACCTTTACCGGTTTGAAGGTGAATGATTGTGTTTGCCCTTTGGGGTTCCTGAAAAGACCAAAGGTAAGAATCTCATTAACTAAGGTTAGTTAGTTAGCTCTTTCACATGCTTCATCTTATTGTTTCATCAACATATTTGTAAGTAAGAGATAAGGTTTCTGCTTTTACATTTAAGGCTCTCTTTTTTTTTTCAAGTTCACATGTTAAACCAACTCTTTCCTTTTTTCATCCCTATATGAATAGCCTCATGTTACTATTAGGCTATTAGCCTCTAAAAGACCACAGTTCCACCAAAAACCTAACGATTTAATAAGCAAGATTGTACTCATCTTCTTTCTCTTATGGCTCGGAACAAGATCGAATTCCCTCTTGATGCTGAGGCCTACGAGATCATCTGCAAGATAGGCGTTGGTGTTAGTGCCTCGGTCTACAAGGCCATATGCATTCCCATGAACTCAATGGTAGTTGCCATCAAAGCCATTGATCTTGATCAGTCACGAGCTGATTTTGACAGTCTTCGCCGTGAAACCAAGACGATGTCTCTGCTTTCTCACCCGAATATCCTCAATGCTTATTGTTCATTCACCGTTGATCGATGTCTTTGGGTGGTTATGCCTTTCATGTCTTGTGGCTCTCTTCATTCCATTGTCTCTTCTTCTTTCCCCAATGGTTTACCGGAAAACTGCATTTCCGTCTTCCTCAAGGAAACCCTAAGTGCAATCTCGTATCTTCACGATCAGGGTCATTTGCACCGGGACATCAAGGCCGGTAACATTCTAGTAGATTCTGATGGATCCGTGAAGCTCGCTGATTTCGGAGTATCCGCTTCGATCTATGAACCCGTGACATCCTCCTCTGGAACAACATCTTCTTCTTTAAGGTTAACTGATATAGCGGGAACACCGTATTGGATGGCTCCGGAAGTAGTTCACTCTCACACAGGATACGGTTTCAAAGCAGACATTTGGTCATTCGGGATAACGGCTTTGGAGTTAGCACACGGGAGACCTCCGTTATCTCACTTACCGCCGTTGAAGAGTCTGCTCATGAAGATCACCAAAAGGTTTCATTTTGCTGATTACGAGATCAATACAAGCGGAAGCAGCAAAAAGGGTAACAAGAAGTTCTCAAAAGCTTTTAGAGAAATGGTTGGTTTGTGTCTAGAGCAAGATCCTGCTAAAAGACCATCTGCAGAGAAGTTGTTGAAGCATCCTTTCTTCAAGAATTGTAAAGGACTCGACTTTGTGGTCAAGAACGTGTTGCATAGCTTGTCAAACGCAGAGCAGATGTTTATGGAGAGTCAGATTTTGATGAAGAGTGTTGGAGATGATGAAGAAGACGAAGAAGAAGATGAAAAGATAGCAAAGAACAGGAGAATCAGTGGGTGGAATTTCCGTGAAGACGATCTCCAACTTAGTCCAGTGTTCCCAGCTACTGATTCAGATACTTCTGAGTCCAGTCCACGTGAAGAAGATCACATCCAAGACAAACAGGAAGACGATAACGTCACAATAACCGGATCTGAACTCGGTTTAGGTTTGTCAAACGAGGAAGCTAAGAACCAAGAAGGTGAGGTTGTTGGGTTTGATAAAGATTTGGTGTTAGAGAAACTGAAAGTGTTGAAGAAAAGTTTAGAGCATCAAAGAGCGAGAGTGTCGATTATAATCGAAGCATTGAGTGGGGACAAGGAAGAGAAGAGCAGAGAAGAAGAGCTTCTAGATATGGTGGAGAAGTTGAAGATTGAATTGGAAGCTGAGAAGCTGAGAAGCTAAATACCTTGCGTGCTGATAAAGATAGTGTTTTGGGTTAACTATTCTAAACTTGTTAACATTTTGTCTTTCTAAAATCATTTAGTGGCATGACATTATGATTTTACGAATACAAATATTTACTGGTTCTAGTTCTTAGAATAACTGTACTTTAATAGTGTACTAATGTGATAGTATGTTGCATTGTAAAACATTTCATCCTCAAACAAAAAGGGAAAAAAGCTTAATATGGATTTCTATATATATAATTAACTAAGATGTTCGTTCTTAAACTGTTACCTTTACAGTAATTTTTGAAGATTCTGGAATATATTTGACCTTTATCTAAAATTCGTTGATTACTTACGTACTTGATTCATAAAATTTTAACATATTAATAAAATTCATATATCATTAGCATCTTCTTTTTTTTTGTCTCAAAATCATTATTGAAGTAACACAAAAATATTATTAAACTTTGAAATCAACCCAAATAAGCAATTTGGGGATTTGATCATAAGCTAAAATAAATGAATATGTTGGGCTGAAAATACTAATTCCAATATAGTTCATCTTGGTTCTACAAGCCTTACTAGCAGACCCACTCGGTTCTAGTTACATATATTTGTGTTTGCATGTCATATTCCCTGATCCCTGTCTTTGAAAACCGCCAAAAAAAATTGAATTGTTAACTTAAAACTTAGATATGTTGTATTAGCTAAAAGTATAAAACTTAGATATGGAAATATATAATAACAAATATTCAAAATGTATATATATATATATAAAGTTTGCATGACAAGTTTCTCTATATAACTAAATTTAGCAGATAAACTAAAATTTATTTTGATAATTATATTTATAACATATGCATATTATTTCTAAGAAATATGAAACATGTAAGAGTGATTAATACAATTTGTGGAACAACATTGAATTTCATTTTTATTAAATTTAAATATAAAATAATTTTGAGGAGAGGGTTGCCCGGTATTTACGGGAGGAAAAGCATGTACACGTGGGTGGGAGATGTTGAATCAGTCAAAGCTTCTTCAGTTTCCTCTTTTGTCTTTTTCTTGTTTCAGTCTTTTTTTGCGCCTTTCCCATATTTCAATCCTTGGAAATAGTATAACAACAATCTTTCCTTTTGTTTTTTTTTTTTCACTGGTAAATATTTGATTATGCCAAGCAAAGATACAAAGTGAAATACTAAAGCCGGCGGAACAACAAAATGTCCCCGGAAACCAAAGGTGAAAAACTAAAGCCGGCGGAACAACGAGATATCCCTGGAGACAAAAGCCCAAACAAGGGAAGCATAGCCCTAAACAACAGGGAAGCAACATAAAAAAGACGAGATAACCAACATAAAAAGCTTATAAAGGTAAAGCTAAGACCAATGCACTACACTTGACCCCCTGTTCCAAAGAGAAACCCACCAAGCTTTCTTATAGAAACTGTAGACGTCGGATAGCATCATGGAGACCGGTAATGAAATACGACCGAAGTCTCCAACCGCAACACCAACAGGCAAGAAAGCAAGCTTCACCGATACCAGGGAAATAAGAACCACAACAGTCAAACCACACTAAGGCAGACGAGGAAAAAGAGACCGGCTAGGAACAAAGAAATAACCTTGAGATTCGGCTTGAGACAAGTCAAGGAAGACCAACAGCACTTACACACGGACAATCTTTCCTTTTGTTACTCTTAACCTTTTTTTCCAAATATAATTTGTTTTTACAATCTCGGTATTTTCAGCCCAACATAGTTTGGGCGAAAATCTGATTTTTTAATTGTGGATTTTGACATATTTTAAATTAGTTGCATAGCGAGTAAATGAAAATTTATTTGATGGAATAACTAGTAAACCCAACAACTAAAAATATATTTAGAAGTTACATATACAAAGGAACAAAATTTTTGCATGACTTTTCCTATAATTCCTTTTTGAAACTCATAAATCATAATCTAAAATAGTTTATTTAGATTGACGGCCAAAATAGTTAATAAGGATGATTTTTTAAAAAATTTGGGACTCAAATTCATGATCTGACTATCTTTAAATCCAATATTTAATGTATTGTCACTCGGTTGATTTAGTAATGTTAAAACATAAATTAGACTATAAGTTTTCTAAAAACTTCTTAATAGTTTCTAGAAACTGATTTTTTTTAAGCAAGAAGCTGGATTTAGAAGATTAATATCCAGCTAATTAAAGCTATTTTAAAGACAAAATTTAATTGCATGTTAGGAAAACGTTAAATTTTGTTAAAGTTAAAGAAAACATACAGAATGGGATGTGACTAGGGTTAACTATAGACCTTTATTTGGAGTTTTAATATATACTGATATTTTAAAGTTACTTTTATATTTGAAACAAGTAAATATATTAGTGATGCAATAACGAAGTGGGCAATGATGTAATACTTGATGGAAATCAGCTTATTAAGTAGACATTTTAGGATTCCAACCAATTGTAAGTTAACTGATATTTTCGGTAACAAATGATTCTTTTGTGGATAGGAAGTCTCATCACAAAAATTCTTGTTTGGCACAATAATTACTGATTTCATAAAGATAAACTATTGTCACAATAATTAGTGATTTCATAAAGATAAATTATCAGTATTTATGAAAAACAAAGCTACTACAGTTAGCAACTTAGACCATCTCTAATGTATTTTCCTATTTTTAGCTCTATCTCTATAATAAATGTAAATTTTCTCTATTTTTACTCCAATGTGTTCCTCTATTTTTTCCTATAAAAAGTTTAACTCTATTTATAGAAGAAAAAATAGAGAATCTCTATTTTCAAGAGTCAATGATGTATGAGGCCCGGTGTTGGCTCTTGGATTTGAGAAAGTTTCTATTATATTTGTATAGAGTTTTTTTTTTTGGTCAAAATATTTGTATAGAGTTGGTGTTGTGACTTGTGATTCTGTTTTCTGCATTTGTTTTTTTTGGATTTTAGTACTCCGCTTTTAGGTTAAGAACGGGACCATGTCCTCCTCTCCTCTTTTCTTTTTTTTTTGGTAACACTCCTCTCCTCTTTTCTCATAACTAAAGGCGAAAAATAAAATTAATTCGTTGCATAAAGCATAATATACATTACTACATAGGTATAAATGTTTTCTCGAGACTTGCTGCATGAAAATGTTTGGCTACGAGTTTAGAAAAAAAATGTTTGGCCTAAGAAATGTTTTTTTTTGATAAGCAGCCTACGAAATGTTTTTGAGAATTGGTTCAGAAAAAGCTTATGGTGCTGTTGCATATATAGTTAGGCATTAACCTTAAGAAAAAAACAGTCTTTGTCTCATCTCTTAAGTTTAAAGTCGTTAATGTACTTTTAGCTTACAGAGTCAATAATGCAGTGCTAAATCACTAGAAAGTTATATCGACATTTATTTTATTTTTGATAAAGAAAATTATATCGACATTGGGTCGATAAAAGAGGGTATTCACTTGTTCATGGATTAATTGGTCCGATTAAGTAACTAATGCTGTCTTCAAGCTTTGCGATGATGTGACACCAGATGCTATTAATTACACGATATTATAACTGTATTATACTAATAGAATAATTATATACGTCCCATTGGCTTTGACGATTTACACGTGAATTCATGTGAAGATGGTCCTTCATGTTTCGCCATTTCTAGGATCCCCCACTCGATTTGACGTGATTCATATTGGGTGTGACTATTAACATCTTATAGAAGAAAAATGAAGAGAAGAATTTCTATTTTCTTCTAAAAGTTAACCAGTCAAATAAAATTTGGAATAATTGTTTTCTTCCCAATTTATCCCAAAAATAACATAAAAAGGGTTAAAAATTCCTACTACAATTATATGGTAGAAATAATTCTTTTATCTTTTAATTTTTTTTCTTCTCTTTTCTTCTAGCTTTTTTCTTCTTTTTTCTTCTAATTTTAACCAGTCACACCCGTTGGTATCTACAAAGGAACTATGCATTTTTAGTAGTTTAATAATCAAAATTGTTAGATTGTCACTATTTGGTGAAAATCCAGTTTAACAAATTGTCTAGTGACATAAGGCGGCAGTATTGGTTTTTAAAAGTAAAAGACAACAATAAAATATAACAATTCATTTTTTTTTGTTCAATAGCATATAACATACGGATTTGATTCGTGTGGAATCACAATGATAATAATAATAATAACATAAACTAGTATTAACAAAAGAAGAAGATAATAATAACTTAAATCACTAGATTACAAGTCATAGTCTAATAATACATTTATAAGTGAAATAGATTTTAGATGAAATGGGTTTGTCATGTAGAAGTTATTGTTGCGGCAAATATGCTTTTTAGTATGTGAATACTACTTTTGCACACACCAAAAAAAAAAAAAAATAGTATGTGAATACTACTACAATTAGTTGATATGAGAAAAAATTGGTGGAGTGATCGTGATGTGTTTCGAATATTCTGTATTGATAATTCAATGTTTTGACTATGAGACTTAGTTAAAAACAGAAAAATATTTGAAGAAAAAGAATAATAATTAATAATAATAAGTATAGTTCTTAAGAAATGTTTTTGGGTGTTTTTTTCTGGTCAAATAGAGTATGAATAAGGTTTCTCATATTTATTAGATGAATAATCATTATTATTTTTAGATGAAATTGCAGCTTCTTTTGTAATCGAATGTTTCTCTAAAAATATAGTCCAAACTAATTTCACTTTACTTCTATATATAAGTAATATGCAATATAAAATGTATTTATCTTGCCTTAGTTTTTTTTCAACAGCTTTTATAACTAAACTATATATATGGATCCGTGCGTTGCACGGGTTGCTGGTCGAAATTTTTATATTTTTATTTTTTTAGTAAGATTAACTAAAGTTATATAAACATATACTCCCTCTGTTTTAAAATATAGGATGTTTTGCCTTAAAGCACAAAGTTTAATGAACTAATTAATTCTTTTAGTTTTTATATATTCAAGATAATTTGACCAATGATATGATTTACTGCAGAATCTAAATAGTCACAAAATTATTCAAATTTAATTTTTTTGCATATAAACTTGAATTTTTTTTTCCAAAACATCTTATATTGTGAAACAAAATAAAATGGCTAAAACATCATATAATATGAAACAGAGGGAGTATGTTTTAATTTTAGAAACTGGCATAATATATTTCCAATAAATGATAAATAATTTTTACATGATTTATGTTAATTTTAAAGTCACCCTATCACCACCTCCGTAACCATCAACCACCACCATCATCACCTCTATTAACAATCACATGCTACTCCTATTTCTTTTAGTATGACATGATACTTTATTAAATGACAAATTTTTCCCTCTAATTCTCATTAGATGTCTCTCTTTCATAGTCAAATTTTTTTTGTTTTTTCTGATTTCGTGTTACTAATATTTATTACATGTTTTTTTTTTTTTAGTTACATGTACGTTTTTTTGTCTTTTGTTTGAGGGCCATTTCATCTCTAAAAAATATTAGTTTTCAAATTTTTTTTTTTTACTTACAAAGGTTAATTACTAATATTATCCTAAAAATAATTTATGACAAAAAAAAGAGGAAAAGCTTTACCAATAGAATGAAGTTAAAGCAATGGTGATGTTTATAAAGAAATTAGTTTGCTTGGTGAGAAAATATTAGACAATATATTTGTTTATTTAGAGGTGAGTATTTACAATCCTTTTTCTTATAGGATTAATCATGAATTATATAATTTTTTTAATCCTTTTTCTATTCTGAAATCCTTTTTCTTGTACTGTTAGCATAATTTTATGATTTCGATTTTTATGAAAAATTAATATACATATAATTTCATTATATATACGTATAGTTTCCTTATAAGAATATTTTTCTATTTTTGAAATTAAACTGTTTAAATTTATAATTTGGTTATAATTATATTTTTACAATTTTTAATTTGTTAAAACCAAATTTTTTTGTGCCAAATGGTAAATCTCTTATGGAAATATATGTATAATTTCCTTATAATTATTTTTTTTACAATTAAAACTGCTAAATTTATATTTTTCTTATAACTACATATATATTTTTTAATTATTTAAAACAGAAATATTTATTTGATACATAGCAAAATCTTAATCGATAATTTTGACACGTGACACGATCACGTGAGTTACTAACTTTGAAAATCATAGTTTATATAATAAGATGTTCAGAAATCTAAACTGAAAAAGTGAAAGTACGAAGTTTACATAGCTAATATATTTTCTTAGTTATTACTTATTTCATTTATCACTAATTTTATTCTAAAGAATAACTTAAAATTTATTATTGTTCAAACTAGTAAGATGGTGAGAGTTTGACCCATTTAATCATTTGGTTTAACAACTGGTATGTATACAAAAACATTTTTATAATATTTACCAGATATAGTTTCATATTTTTAAATCATAATCAGGTCATGTACTTATAAATGAGTGGCGCAAACGATGAAAAAATAATGGATTAAACCTAATACATATGTATTTCCTTAGTTTCAATAAATAGGAATTAGATATATTTTAAATGTCTTACAAGTTTCTATGCAAATTTTAAAATTAATTATAGTTGAAATTTTGTGACTACTTATATTATGTAATACTTAGTTTCTCTGTTTCTAAATGATGATGGCTTCATTTATATTTAAAAATTGATGTTTAATTATAGATGTGTACCATATTTTGTACTAAATAATTTTCTGTAATTCTAAACTAATAATAATTCAATAAATTCTTTGATCAATAGTTCTTGAATTTTACAATTCATCATCACTAATAAGCAAAAATCATTAAAAAGCTATCTTTTATGATTTAGTTTCACTAATTTTTGTAAACCAAATATTTAATGATATTTTCTTTTAAAAATAAAATTTTAATATGCATGCTTTTCACTTATAAATCTTATATATCTAAACAGAAGGAATCTTAATTGTTAGAAGGTTACATCTATATCAAGTTTTTTTTTTTTTGTCATCCGAATTTAATTAGAGCTCAAAAGAGTCATTTCTGTGGAATGTTGTTTACATATGTGATATTGAGCGGTTATGTACGAATTTTTCGTGCCAGATTATCCGCTTTTACAATAGCATTACGAGAAATTAAAGATAAAGAGAAGGATGATAATTCTTCCTTGTCGCTCTAGAATTCCTCCAAGTACACTGAAAATGCCGGCCGGAGAAGACACCATCTTCACCAGATCAGAACATTCTGTAAGGAACGCTACTTCTTAATTATCTGCACCAATTATACACTTAATCGCCCAGAGAAGAGCCTCGAATTATGTATGTAATATGTATATCAAGTTTTATTTGAAAAAAACAAACATTAGAAAATCATAAAAGTGCATTAACATCAATAAATGATCATTTGGTAATAGTAATATTTTTGGTTAAGACTTTATACTCCTATTAACTTACAACTTAAAACTTCATGATTGTAACTAAACTAAACTTCCTTAAGTCGTCCTCGCCAACAACATCAACCATTTTTTTTTGTTCATTCATGATTTTGTTTTTAGCTTCTCTCATGTCATGTACCATTAAATAACTTATTAATTAATACAAATTGAACTTGTACATACAGAGCCGTCCCAGAGATTTTGGTGGCTCCAAGCAAAAATAATTTTTTTTTGCTGATTTTTCCTTTAAAAAAAACAAAAAAGATATCTCCCTCAAGGGATATTGAACCGGAGACCTCAACTCTAAGTTAGTACAATGTTTCCAGCAGAACTAATGGATCTTTGCAAAAATTTGGGGCCGATTAAATATATATATTTAAAAAGACCGCAAACACCATGGCTTGTACCTATGGACGGCTCTGTGTACATGCTTAGTCAACAAAATTTCTTAATACCCACTTGCATTTCTTTAGTTTATAAAGTCACATTAAAAAATTTCCAATAGCATCATGACCCGAAGATCAAAGAACCACCACTATGGACCTATGGTAATAACCTTAATTAGAAATGCTCATGAATCAGAACTAATATAATATCGAAACGCACAAATAGGCAATGCTCTCGTTGTTCCTTCATCGTTGAACCAGCATTAAATATATATATATACTTATGATTTTTGTGCCAATCAAAACGTAAAGTATGTAAAGATCACAAAAGGAAAACACATACAAATATTGTAGTCAAATACTACTAAACAAAAACAAAAAGACAAACATTCTAATTTACAGTACAATGTTTATTCATTTCAATAACTTCGTGGAGTAGTAATGATACTGAAAATCCGAAAGTCCCTTAGTTTCGTCTTTTGTATTTTCCATTAATAACAAGCAAAGCTTTGATACTTATTTATTTTTCCAACAAGAGCAAAGCTTTGTAATAGACTACCTCAAATCACTTATATTCATCTATATATTTATTTATATAGAACATTTAGAAATGGCTCGCTGAGTCAGTATGGTGGTCGCGCGTGGACCCATGTATATGGTTCGTGCCCTAACTGACCAGCCCCATTTGGAATCAGATGCGGCGGCATATTGTAGCCTGGCCCGGCCATCCCCGATAGATCAGGCAGGCTACTACCGATTCCGGGCGGCGAGTCACCGCCTCCGTGAATCTGTCTTGAGCCGCCACCGTCTTCCTCCTCTTCCATAGGCAATCTCTCATAAGTAGCGTTAGAGAAAGTAGCAGCAATCACCATGACCGACCCTATGGCCAAGAGCGGTCCTACGACGCTACCTCCAACGACCTGACCTTGGACCCCGGCTAAGTAAACCGTTAAACCGGTTGAACCGGGTGGGGAAGGACCAGGGAGGAAAGCACCGGTTAAGGATAAGATCTCAAACCTGCCTTGGAGAGAGACGACGCCTCCTGGTGCCGCGGCTTGACGGAGGGTGACGTTAGCGACTGAGCCTGTTCCGCTAAGAACGCAAACGCCGCGTTGTCTGCGTCTAGAGAAGTGAGCGATTGTCTCGGCGACGTCGCTGCCGTCGGAGATCTCCAACACATGGCTACGGAGTGCGTTGGGGCTGTCTCTTGTCACAAAGATTGGAGCTTTGGGTTTGTTTTTGGATCCTGGTGGTCTACCTCTTGGTCTACGGTTGACCACCTCGACGGCTCCTTCCCTTGGATCGTCGTCTTCGTCTTGGTCGTTATCTTGGCTCTGATTCATGGCTATTCCAAGATCTCCTTTGGTAAGAATACTTTGGTGGTGATGATTTTGGTGATGGCCTGAGGAGGCCGAATGGTCCACCATGCCGGCTAAACCACTCTGGTTCGTCCACCAAGGGTTTGCCATGATTGACCAAAAACTGAAAATTCACTAAAAAAAAAGATCAAGAAATTATTACCCTGATGATTCGCTTGAAAGGCCTCTAGGGTTCCAACTTTACAATAAGGTCGAAAGGTGTATGTAGCTCTTTCTTGAAATTTTTCTTTTCAATTGATTTCTCTAGTTTCATATGAAATTTAGGAGTTGATGATGATAAAAGTAAAGAAGAAAAGGCTAAGGTAGGAGAATTAGATGCAATTGTGGAATGGAACTAGAATCAAAGCAAAGCTATTGAGACTTTGATTTTCTTTCCAAGAATCAATCGCAGAGAGAGAAAGTGGGCAATAATTAATTTTCACAAGTTAGTATTATTTTATATAGGGTTTGATGGTTTATATAGAATCCAAGAACGCAATACTATATGTGTAATCTCTTTTTATTAATACAAATATAATATACTGGACCCATTTATGAGTCTATTTTAAACCAACAGTGGAAATGAATACCGATTATGCTAAAGTATTAAGCACCAGAAAGACCATAACATATTTAATGAACTTTCATTAAAACCCAAGAGACAGCATAAACAATTGTAGTAACATGAACACAAAAATTGAAATGGGGAAGAAGACCAAAGTGTTGTTCTTTTTTTTTTGAATCTTTGGAAATAGATAAGTGTTGGAATGTTGTGGCATGGGGAACTAAAAAAAAAAAAACTAGGTTCACCTTTTTCTTCTTAAACTAGAGAAGTAATATTGCAGTTATACATACAATAAATGTAGTTATCTTTTAATAAATCAAGACATAAAATAAATAAAATGTAATTAATAGATTAGCATTGGAAATTAGGGTTAAGTGGGGCATAGTGCGCGTGAGCATTGGGGTGGTGGGGAGCACGTCATGTTCCCTTGCCCCGACGTCTCCACTCTCGACAACTCTTACCCTATTTCTATAATAAGATATGACTGATATTTATACGTTTGAGTAATTAATCCAAGTATCTAACTTCTAATCTATTTTTATTTTTTTAAACTTCTAATCTAATGAGTACTTTGTACACTTAAATATTTTGAGTTTTTACACAATTATTAAGTCAATCATCAATCGCTTTAGATTTTTTTTTTTTTTTTTTTTTTAATTTTTACTCACAACCCATTTATTAGAAACAAAAATTTTAAAACCAATATTTTAAACAACAATTACCGTTACAATCTCAACTAATCATCCCTTAAACCACAATTGATACCATATAGAAAATTCTTGAACCATGTTCTAAATCCATAAGGTTTTTCTTGGTAGTCAAGGCTGAATTTACAAGTTTAGTAACTTAATCTTTGCCTAACCGCCTTTTAGATGTATGTCATCTCGAAAACTCTTTGACACTCTAGTCAGAATTGAGTTAATGTGAGTTGCCAGAAATTGGGAAAACAATGAGGATGATTTAGTTTTGGACCTAACAAAGCAGTAACCTAAGGCTTAATATGAAGTTTTCGTTAGCTTAGAAAGGATGTTAATGGAAGAGCGTATACAAATATATTTTAATATAGAGGGCGTTGGTACTCTTCAGGAGACGGATGTGAGTATGCCGAGATTTTGATGAAGTATATGAACATAAAAGAGGTGATATCCTGTCATCCTGACTATCACCGTCAGTGGGTCCCCACGCTTTCTCTCGGTCCGTGGAATCCGCTCATGTCCGACTGACGGTTTGCTATTTCAGAAGGTTTTCAAAACTTGTTTACCGACCATAAAAATCACCACATGATATTTTCACATGTTTTGTCATCACATGTCGGTAGATCATTCTGACATAATCTCAAAACATACTTTCAAATAAGATGTATACACACATACACATACTTTATCGTGAGACCTATACATATGAAAAAACTTAGCTTGGATTCATATGTAGGTAGGACCAGCTAAAACAAAAAAACAAAAAAAAACAATGGTCTTTGTTCAAAATTGAAATTGAATTACATAGAAAAAAGTTTGAATTTTTTTCTGTCCTTAAATACACTAATTTTTTTTAATGTTTGTTTGAACAAGGACCTGGTGCAAATGCACTCCTCCCACATACCTATATACGGTCATATATGTAGGTTCAATATGCGAATTGATGTTCTTGAGTTCCTTGTCGATCGTGTTTATCAATCATACCTTGCCCTACTAGATGCAGTCTGCTTTTGGCCGATATGACCCGTGTGATAACTCTGTTATGGCCCAATAGCCATGGTGGGCGTGCTCCAATGTATGTGTACTTTTAATTTTAAGTCAGCTCCTTGAAGATATTCAATATTAACTACGAAGATATATAATTTGTGAGGTAGAACAACCAGAGCTCAAATGAAGAGTTTATTCAAGAAAGCAAGTCATTCATTTCCCGCAGCATCATGAGTCTATTTCTCTGAGTAAGGGTGGTAAGACAAGTCGTATACTAGTCTTTAAAAAGGCTGAGTATTTCGGCGGCTTTCTTCGAAACGATTTCGACTGCACGTTGTATATATGTCACGATTATGTTGATGAATCACTCCCAACAGTATATTATATAACCATGTAGCTTACTATTTTTTGAATGATCTATATATCTAACTTCTTAAAATAATTACAGATATTTTTCGTGTGAATCCAAACCCTTTTGTTTATAATCTAGCACCTTGTAGCCTAACATCTGTTGATGTGTTATAATATATATATATTTTTTTAAAAATCACATCCATATATAATAACATGGTATTTTAACATATACTAAAAGAATAGAAGAAACTGAAAAATTACTGACGATAATAATAAGTTAACAAAATTTTTTTTGTATTTTTTCTATATTTTGTGCCAAAACCCAAATGTTATCCTCTAGACTCTAGTAGCTAATATTAAAACTCATGGTTATTATTTATCTTAACAGTAGTTTCAAGAAATTCACTCTTAAATTCAATATTTAAGACTTTAGTCTACGTAATTGTTAAGATGATTTGACCTAGAAACCGAACCATTGGAAACGTACATGTCAACTTCTTGTCGAATACCAAACCAAAAATGAACTTGTCGATTATTGTCAACTTGTTACCTAAAGTGGAAAAATCAAACTCTTCCGCATAGTGTGTCATGTCAACTTATGGATGTTACGAGTCGTTAAAAATTTCTCTTTTATTTTCCTCATGTTGTTACGTATTAGGATCTTATAGCAAATGTCAATATACACTACGGTATTTGCGCCTGAAAATTTTGAAAATTGGATTCAGACGCCAAGTTATCTTGTTTTTATTACAAGTGCTAAACTTTTTTCACAGAAACCTAATAATTAAGCTTATCAATCAATCAATTAAGCTTTTTGTAGACAAAATTGCTAACATGATCACAAGATCAAATAGTTGACAAATCATAAAGAAGCTTTTGCTACATTACATGAAATGACATGAGATGATTTTGCTTTGGACAAAACAAGTCTCTATCAAACATTTTTCTTTCGATTGGTTCACTAGTCTCTTCACAATCTCTTTCTTTGTCTTAATATGGGTCCCTTGACTTGTTTACTATGTCTGAATCATTCATTCATCAGGCGAAACCCAAAAATGGAAGTTATTGTTCTAGATTTCCAAACGAAACAAGTATTCATGTAAGTGTAACACTACTTTCTTCTTGTATCCAAATTTACCCTTTGATGTAGTTTAATAGCCTGCAAAATCCGAAATATTGTCAGTGCTCGAGTCGAAGAACAAGGACTTGAACCAGTAGTTAAGTGTTTGGATAACTATAAGAAGAAGTGCACTTTACCTAATAAGGTAATACATGATCAAGAACAGGAGTACAAAATAAGCTATGAGTTTGCAACTTTTTCGATTAGACTTCTGCTCAAAGACCTGTCATGTTAAAATCAATTTTTCTTCAGATATAAGTTTTGTTAGTGAATACAAAAGGGGTGATGCTGATGCATAAAAAGGTACGAAATCTCATTTACATACCAACTTGAAACGGTTGATTGTTCCTGACATTATCCCTCTCGCAGAGTCCATTTTGTTCCCCTGGACATAAGACAACAAATAGCTAAGAAGAAAAGCATATGACAGAGATCTACAAAATGAAACATATGAAATCAAACTTCAGCTTACCACTTTGTCAAGCAAGCGGTTATGATTCTCAACTTCTTCATGTATATCTCCAGTCACCTGGTAAGACATTATTACCAACTTACATCTCAGGCAAGCGTTATTGCAAGCTAGATTTGACAAGAGTGAAAACAAAAAAAAAGGCATTGTCTTTATAACTAGACTTTTCGAAGTTGTTAATATAAGACTTAAACATGGTCTAGTCATAGCAATGCTTAAGGGAATGTTCTTAATCTAAAAGTTAATTCAAGAAAAATCTTTCTCAAACAATTCACAATTAATCATCGCTCGATGCTTGTCGAATCCAAAAGATTTAACTATGCTTAAGGGACTGTTCTTTCTCAAACTATTAGGATCAGTGGCACAATCCATTTCACAATGAAGAATCACATAGTGTTTATGGTTGTGATGATCTTTTGACTCTTTAGTTCTAGAGATGGAAAGAAACATACTCTCTTGAGAAACGAAACTCTATCCTGCAGATTCTCCAAAGCTTCGTCATTGTCGCGTTCGTCATGAGAATACGAAGAAGAAGCTCTCAAGCGACCTTCTTCAAGTCCATCAAGACCATCGAATAGAGACGTTCTTGAAGCACGATTCTCCCTGCAACAAAATCAAAATCGTTCTTAATCAGATCCAATTTTCTCAAATTCTAGATAGAGACACTCAATTCAAAACCTAGAAAACTGTAATTCGAACTCTGCAATTAGGTCATTGACTCAGAATCAGGAATTCGAGTGTCGGGAACAAGGAATCTGAAGATTGTGATGAGATCCGGATCAAGAATCAATATCATTGACGAATCAACATAAAAACAAGGATTCGAATGAAGAAGATGAGATCAAACCTTCGATAGTTCACCATCATTTGATTCGTCTTCGCTTCTAATCTCTTACGAAGGACTCACCATCACAGACGAATTTAGAACATTGTGAAGATTTTGATTGCGAGAAACGTACGAAAGTTCTTACTGTTACAAGTCCCTAGAAGAAGAGAGAGAGACGAAGTGAGAGCTTATTGGGCTTTAGTTCGGCCCATTTCTCTAATTAAATTGAATCCATTAAAGACAGTCACAGTCTATGGTGATGGCGCAAGATTTAGTTGTTTGAATTGGTAAAACTGAACACTTTGAAAAAAAAAGAAAAGTCCAACCCTACACTAGGTCTAGGTGTATGATGGATTTAGTTGTTTCTTCTATTACGTGTTTTATGAATTTAATTAGTTTTTAGTTTTTACCAATTCATGTATTAAACAAGATGGAATATTTGAACTTGTATGATACTTTGTTAGTGAATATTGTATTATTAAACCGGATGCTTGTCTCCTGGTGGTATAGGAACCTCGGCTGAGGCACCCGCCACCCGGCTTCGAGTCCCGGCCACTGCGCAATTTACCTACGGGGCGCAGCGTCCCAGACCACCAGATCCGAGGGGCCCTTAAGTGGAGGCTTAAAAATCCAAGGAACGCGGGCTTAGGCCCAATGGGCTAGTCGGATTACAGTATGGTCGGGACACTGGGTTATAAAAAAAAATATTGTATTATTATTATTATTATTATTTTATTTTTTTGGTAAAAGTATATTGTATTATTTTAGAGGACCAAACTCACAGTTAGTTAAATTTACAAAACGTGAAAATAGTTAAACGCTTGTGTGACAAACTTCACACGATGCTGGCCGCTGGGTCATGGAAATCCACTAAAGTTTCATGAACGGTGGGACAAACGTCGTCTGTTCGTAGCAGAACGGGGACGCCGGATGTTGCCATTTCTTGAAAATTGGTGTCTTCTTCACTTCTTCCACTGGTTTCTCAGTCTTGTTATGGGGCGGAGGAACATGCGATTGGTTGAAGGACGATCTTGGGGAAGGAGCTAGCGGCGAAAGGAGAGGGATCGCCATGTTCCAATTAGTCGACGTCGGTTTGATGATCAAAGACGGAGCTCGTCTCTGTAGCTGGCTATGTTGCATCTCGTTGTTGGCTGCGGAGCTGCTTGTTCTTTGCATCGTGGACGCCATGGAGATAGATTTGTGAACTTGTAGGATAATTGAGTACTTTTTTGTATATGAGAACACAATAATTTGTTGATGTTGGTGTGTGATGTCTGATGTTTATGTAGATGATATATATAAGTTGAGGAACACGACTAGTAACATGTTGACTAGGAACACGCTTGGATATGGTCAGAGTTGAAGAAAGAAAATTAGCTGTTTTGCCTTCCCTTTTTTCCGTTTCTTTACATTTTTTTTTTTGGCAATAGTCTTTGACCAATTCCTTTTGAATTTTCCCTGCTTGTTTTTTATGTTAAAGTTCTTTTTGAACTTTTTCAAATTAAACATTTATTTGAACTATGTCAAGTTATATAAAAACTAGATGAGTTTAATTTTTTTATACAAAACTCTCATCTCATCCATTCTAACCTGTATACAAATACTCACCTATGGTCCATAGCTTGTATGAATTCCAGTAGAACATGTCAACAAGTACAAGAGAGTGTAGCTAATACTGCGGCATATATGCTCTCTGCTCATGCCGTATAACACCACTGGATATTAAATTACAAAGACATCATCTTCTTAATGGAAGCCAAACATGTTCATGAAATGGTGAATGGTGGATAAGGTTATGTGGACAGATTCTCGTGAACATGTTCTATTGGATCTCATATATAAGCTATGGACCACAGGTGAATATGAATATTTGAGTCTAGCCCGGACCGTGCTTTACAATCTAAGCCGCAAAAATAAACAATCGGGCCATGTCACGATATGCTTAAATATGTATGGGTTTTGCAGGTTTCAGGCCCAACTCAGCGATCATGATTGACATCTCTATGACAAAAAAAAAAATGTAAAATAATGGTTTGTGTTAGGGTTGTCAGTGTGTCACCACCCTAATTCAAACACGCATATTGCATGTTATTAATCTAAATAAAATAAGTAAAAAATAAACATGATTTGTAATATATGATTATAGGATTTGTATATTAGTCCCATCCTGGTGTCATTAATCAGAAATAAATCCGGTGAAATGAATTTCGTAAACAAAAAATCAAGAAACAAGATAAATCTTAGTAATTATTCGGTATAAAATAAAAATCCTTACATAATAAATAGAGATTTAAGTATATGTATTTGAAACATAGGATCTTAATAATGGTTGGTACATATAAGTCTGGTTTTATAGCATTCCATACTCGATTATTAGAGGGTACGGTTTGGTCGGTTCGACTGGCCGGTCATATGGATCTAAAGACACTGATTTTTTTTTTTTTTTTATCTAGCTTGTGTATTTAATGAAAGAGTTGGTGGACTAATTTAACTAATGTTGTTTGCACAACTTAAAGAGTTAGTGAACTAATTTAACCAATGATGTTGTTTTCTTATCGAATGTGTGATGTGTCCATGAAGTAATGCTAAAACACAAAATCTCAATCAAATCATGCCAGTAATCATGCTTGAAACTAAATAAGAAGCTATTCCAAAAAGAGTCATCATATCAAAATAGTTATTTAGATAAAATCATACGAATGTTTTAAGTGTTTAACCACCGATAAATTGTTAGATCACCTATCAATCAAGTGGAGAAAAGAAAACAAAAAATGATTCTGCCAATACGAAAGTTCTAACTCATAGTTGCCAAAGGAGAAAATGGTAATTATGTACAAGAAAACAAACAATTCCAGTATCTTTTTGAGGAAGAAAATTACACATATATAGTCTCGTCTGCATTTAATAACATTGTGACACCAAAATGGTTGGGAAGATTACCCAATTTAAAGACTTCGGTGGCAAAGCACGTCTAATAAATATACAGTTGGATCTCTTTTGTTCCCTTGCATTAATTAATCAACTTCACTCACTTCTATATCTCAGTTTTCTACTACCTCTTTTCTTATTCTTGTACCATCCTAAATCAGTGAATCCTTAACCTGAGCACCATGTGTACGTTAGAGAAACGTGGCGATCTCTTTCACCTAACCCTAACCGGCGACGACGAGCACAGATTCCACCCGGACACGATCGCCTCCGTTCTCTCACTTCTTGAACAAGCTAAATCTCAATCTACAAAAGGATCCGTCCTCATCACTACTGGTCACGGAAATTTCTTCTCCAATGGCTTTGATCTCGCATGGGCCCAATCCGCTAGACACGGTGCCATAGAACGGATGCACCAAATGGTCAAATCCTTCAAACCGGTGTTAGCCGCCCTCCTCGATCTTCCAATGCCGACGATCGCCGCCTTGAACGGCCACGCAGCCGCCTCGGGGCTAATGTTTGCGCTGAGCCATGACTACGTTTTCATGAGGAAAGACCGTGGGGTTCTTTACATGAGCGAGGTGGACATCGGTCTGCCGGTGCCAGACTACTTCTCGGCGTTGGTTGTGGCTAAGGTCGGGTCAGGTATCGCGAGAAGGGAGCTGTTGCTGAGCGGGAAGAAGCTCAAAGGAGAAGACGCGGTGGCTCTCGGGATCGTGGACTCCGCGGCGCACGATAGCGCGGAAGGTGTGGTGGAGGCTACAGTGAGCCTTGGGGAAAGTTTGGCTGCTAAGAAATGGAATGGAGAGGTGTATGCATCCATTAGGAAAAGTTTGTATCCGGAGCTTTGTCGGATGCTGGAGTTAACGGCCAATAACTTGGCAACTCACAATCACTAGAAACTCTCTTTGTCTTGTTTGGAGAAAAATGTTTGAAATATGAATATTGCCGACAAAATTCAACGTCCATTTCACTAAGTATCTGTTTCTCACCAATAGAAAAACATAATTAATGTAACCTACGTTTTTTTTTTTCATTTAGTTAAAATTTTAACAATATTACTGATAAACATCAATATAACTATCGGTAAGTTATTAGGTAAAATATGCATAATTCATACTTCATAATCGTACTCACATTAGCAATATATCACATCATATATGCATCTATTTCCGTTTGATTCGTTGATGAAACATATATCTAATATTCAAATAATTATGTCAAATGGTCATAATCGCATTTATCGCCATAAGATAAGAAACGGGTACAGTCTGATCAATCAAACTCGACCGAATTAGCTAGACAACCCACGAGAAACCTTATATGGTGTGGAAAATTAATCCAAACGACAACAATTTATAGAGAGAGAAGAAGTATTACATAAAAGAATCAATACAATAAGGAAGATGGAGAAACCTAGCAACAAACACATAATTTCCTGTTAGACTATAAAGATGAGTAGTGGTGGTAAACAACAAAAACACTATAAAGATGAGTGGTGGTAAAAACCGCACGTAAGCTATGGAAAATATGGAAGTTTGGTTTTTCAAAAAAAAAAGAAAAAAAAGAAAAGAAAAGAAGAATCCTATTATGTTCACTATATAAGATGTTGTAGAAGTGATGATTCTATTGATATGAGAATATTACATGAGCTTTATACAGAGACTAGAGAGCTGTACAAGGAAACATAATATTTACACAGTAATGAGAATAATGTGACAGAGATGATTGTGATCAATCATATATGTTTGCCTGATTTGCATATCCTTAATACGTCCCCTCAAGATGGAGGGAATAAGGTGACTCCAATCTTTTTGCGCAGATAGTGAAACGTTGCTCGAGATAGAAGTTTGGTGAGTGCATCCGCGAGCTGATCTTTGGTGGAAACGTGTGAGACTCGCAGTATACCGGCTTGGATTTTTGAATGGAAAAACTGGATTTGCACACAAATAAGTAGCACCGATGTTGTCGCAGTATATGGACGGAGGCGCATGGAGCTTGAGATCAAGTTCAGAGAGTAGTGATTGTACCCAAATGAGTTCCGAAGCAGCATTTGCAACTGCTCTATATTCTGCTTCAGTGGATGATCGTGCGACACCTTTCTGTTTCTTCGACGACCAAGATATTGGCTGTCCACCAAAGTAGATTATGTATCCGTTTGTTAAGACACAGTCAGCTACATCCCCTGCCCAGTCAGCATCAGAGAATCCATGAAGACTTAGAGGGTTACCTTTGCGAAAGTATAGTCCGTAGGAACTGGTTCCAGCAAGGTAATGCAATACTCTTTTAGCTGCTTGCCAATGATCAACCGTTGGGGGAGTGCATGAACTGAGATAGCCGATTTACATCATAGGCAATATCCGGTCTAGTAAACGCCCGATATTGAAGACTGCCAACCAATGTTCGATATTCAGTAGGGTTAGTGATATTATATCAAATTTTTATTTTCTTTTTATTTTTAATTATGACAACTCAAATTGAAAACAGAAACAATAATATCAAATTTTTATTTTTCTTTTCAGAGTTTATAAAAATAAATTTCGGAAATTAATTAAAAATAACAAAATACGATTTTTTTGGCTTTTCTTTTGATAAAACAAAATACACAGCAAAACTCAAACAATTTTTTTTTTTTTATAGGTTTTATGATGGTGCTGAAGCAAATTAACAAGAACAAAAGGAAGAAACAAAATTTTATTTGATTTTTGATTTATAGGAAACAAATAATAAAAAATGAAAATTGAAAAAAAGAGATAAAGTGAAACGAATTCACCTGGGTTATATGAGCTTTTAGCTCTGATACCAAATGATATAAGATTGAAACCAATCCAACTTATGATCACTCAATGATCAAGAGATTCCAAACTTAATCCCGCGGAAGGATGGAAACGAGTCAATCATACTATCTCCACATCGTTTCCATCCTTCCGCGGGATTAAATTTGGAATCTCTTGATCATTGAATGATCATAAGTTGGATTGGTTCCAATCTTATATCAGTTAGAGTAGGCTTCACCTGCCAATGTAAGCTTCGGAGTAGTCGCCATTGGTGTTGTAACTGATTTGGCGTCTTGCATATTCATCTTCGATAATAGGTCTAAGACGTATTTTCGCTGATTTAAATGCAGTCCAGCCTCTGTTCTAATAGCCACAATGCCCAGAAAATATGAAATTTCTCCCATGTCTTTAACTGTGAAACGAGACCCCAGATTCTGTAGAATGCTTTCAATAACCTTTGCATTGTTACCTGTGACTATGATATCGTCTACATAGACCAATACATAGACCAGCAGCTTGTCGCGGTTGAGAACAAATAAAGATGTATCTGACAGGGAATTGAGAAATCCAGCACTTACAAGGTATTGCTTAAGCTCCAAGTACCACGCTCTAGGTGCTTGTTTGAGTCCGTATAGCGCTTTCTTCAGGTGACAAACATATGATGGGCGATCAGGATCCACAAACCCTTGCGGCTGAGACACATAAACATCTTCAGTAAGGGCCTGACTGGTTTAAACGCAGCGGTTGCGTTTGCGGTTGCGGGAGTTTGCGGAAGCGGACGGTTGCGGCTTCAAGCGTTACCAAACGTTTTGAACGACTGGTTTAGCGTTTGAAAATAGATGCGTTTGCGGGATTTTTATGACTGGTAAACCAGCAGGTAGTAGCTAAATTAAAAAATGACCAAAATAATAAGAAATACTACTAAAAAAAATACCAATAT